TGAAGAAACAAGGGGTTTGCAATAATAGTTTGTGGTCTCAATCCCATAGTATTAACCAAAAAATCCATCACACCCCTGATCTTTTCCTCTGAAAATCGGAAAATAAAAGGGTCTTGCTTAAAAGCCCGGAAAATCTCCTCCTCAGTCCACCCCAAACTCTTCAACGCCTCAATTTTCTTATTCAAAGTGGACGCGCTCGTTTGTAAAATGGTAGTAAGAGCTTCTGTAAAAACAGAAACCTCTGGTTCAACTCCGAAATCCTTAACAGCATTCACAGCATAAACCATCCTATCATGCTTCCGTTGCACGATCTGTGGGTGCCACAAAACCAACTTTGCAATCCTATCAACAGGCACTCCCTCTTTAATCAATAAATCAATATTTGGTTGCACCACACAGTTCCAATCACAAGTCAACAAAAACACAGAACGCTGGGAAGCCGCAATAATTTTCTCGCTAGTACCGAGAATCGACTTAAAGTAGTCAAGAGATGGTTTAACATGAGAATCTAAGGCCCTTACCAAAATCACCGGATTTGATAAAATAAGCTGAGGCAGAAGCTGACCCGCAAAGCCATTTTCGATGAAGAAGTCAAATTTGGGCTTCAGATTGTCTTCTATTCTGCTCCGGAGAATTTTGGGTTGCTTTTCAATCAATTTGGAAATGTGGGTTTCGCTAAAGTCATGAACTTTCAAGAGCTGGAGTACGGATTGGGAGTTTTGGAGGTTGTTTTCACCGATTTGGAACTTCTTGGAAACTGAAAGAGCGGAATTTAAAGGAAGCCCACATGAATCCACAAGGAATTGAACTGTAAACGACGATGAACAAGAAGAAGAAGAAGAACTACTGCTGGGTAGTGGAGAAGTAGGAGGAGAAAGCGCAGCAGCAGCAGATGTTACCAGAAAACGTCTTTGAAGCAGATAAAGCAAGCTTCTGCTGGGTTTATTGGCTGCCATTTCAGATTGCTAAATGCTCTTAAGATTTCAGATTTGACGGAGAAGTTGAAAAAGGTTTCCCTTAGGGTGAGAATTAATGAAGACCAATTTTGAATTTCATGGTTTAGGATCCAAATGGGCTGGTTTCGATAGGGCTATCGTGGGCTGTTGTTTTTTAATTTTTTGTGGGCTGTTATTTTAAAGTGCTGCCACTAGCCTGCGACCATTTATTTGACTTTTATTTTTATTTTGAAGTATTCTTGTTCTTGCATTGGACATTATATTTACAAGAATTTTTTTTTTCAGAACTTTTTTATATATTCAAATACTAAATAATAATATGAGAAAAACACCAACTACTTGTTCTAATTATTTATGAAAAACAAGTTTGCATCAAAGAAAGCAGATTTCTCATGGAAAATGTGGCCATTTTTGGCAAGCCTTCAGGGTGGCCAGATGCTTACCTTGAGAACGAGGAAGCTGATTTTACTCTTCGATGGTAAACACACTAAAAATCCGTATCTCCAGGCAAATTACCTGGTGTTAAACCAGCCAGCAAGGAGCTCCAGTTATTATGCTTGCATAGCCAAGTAGACGTTCAGTCATTTCTCCTCCAACAACTTTGGCAAGCCTTATGCTCCCAAATTTCCCTTGCACAGAACATGTGATTAAGCTCGAGAAATGCTAAACATAGCTTATGAAGATTCAGGACCAAGCTGGAGGCCAATGTATAATATGTTGAAGATGATAGCTAGCTAAAAGTTATGCCAGCAAATGCACCAAATTGTCTCTCAGGAGCTTCTAGATGCATTCTAGCCCCGAAAGAAACAGAGTCTGAGAGACAACAAAATCCAAATAAAGAGAGTGCCAAGTTGATCGTAAAATTAATACATTCCTGCTCAAGGAAAGAGGGGGTGGCACGGTGGACAAGCTGGAGTAATCACAGATTGGCAAACCAAAGAAACAGAACCTAGGTAAAAACAAAATCCAAATTAACCACCTCAACAGAGAACAACTCCTGAAGCTAAGATTCAGTAAAAGCTACGTTACCATTCCAATCTAACCATCGGATAAATGAGAGTTTTAAGGTTGAAAAGAGTGGAAAAGAAACTTAGAGCATAAGCCTGCCCCTCAGGTTGGTTAGAATAATCACCTTCAGAGTGAGGAAGCTGCAAAGTGGTAAAGAGCTTTGCTAATATCCCAATTTTCCTCATTGGGAGATATGGAAATATAAAACTAGAGTACAAGAAAGCATGATGATCCAATAACCATTATTCATGATGCTAAAAAGTGCCGTTAATCTAAGAAAAGAGCCCTACTTTATAAACTTGCAATAGTTGTTTAGATGTCTAAAGGAATTCCACACCGAAATAATGTACTTGACCCGCAAGTACTTGACTGAGAAAACTATATATGCATCTGTTCCATATATGTGACTCTAGGAAATATGCAATGTCAAACAGCTGGTCCTCTACAGGGCGTAGAACATATTGTTGTCTCAGAATCAAATTTTGCTCTTGAACCAAGACCAAACAACCAGTTAACATATATATATTTGGTTCTTTTTGTCCTTTACTTTAACTGTTTTCGTATGCAAATCAATGAATCAAGGGCTTGTTAGTTGAGTATCGTCTGCCCATTCGGTGTGAATTGGGAAAACACCAGCCTGTAACAGGAATGAGTACAATTCTGGCTCCGTGGATGCACAAAAGAAAAGAATTACATCTTCCATCACCACCAAAATCCACTACGTAAGAAAATACCTACATCAATAAGTACATGACTGCAAACTTTTGAACATCATGCATTTATTCAGGTAAGCATTGAATCTAAAATCTGCCTCAATCGCCTACCAAGCGAAAGCAATGTTAGTCACAGACTTTGCCTATTCTGAGTAACAAAACTAATTGACCTAAAACTTCTCATAACCAAATACTGACCACACGTTGGGAGCCAAAGCCATAAATGACAGTTCAGATCCCTTCCGATCACAATAAAAGGCCGGAGAGATGATCTGAAAACATTCATGGTCACAGTAACAAAATATCACAAAAATAATATGAATATCCAATCTGCAAAGTGATAGGAAATTGAACTAGTAGCAAGTTGAAACAGAAAACACACAATTGCCTCTAATTCACAGAAGATTAAGAGCGGTTTATACTACTATATACTATCCTTCTCATTGAAGGAGTGAACTTACGTCTTTTGCCATCAGGTATCCATCTTTATTGCCTAGGAAGAACCTCATATGCCTCCAATAAACCCGGGGCTTTGTCTGCATACTTAGTAACATAATTCTGGAAGAAATTATTCTCCTTCATTGTTAGCAACTGCTTCATATTCCGGTTCCCAATAATCAGCTTCTTCGACTCCAAAATCTTTAAAACATTGTACCTTGGACGAATCCTTTTATCAACCGACAACATAAGAAACTCGGGACGTGCAATCACAGTTCGCAGATCCATCTTCAATGTGTTCAACAAGAAATCCACGACACTCCTGATTTTCTCCTCTGAACATGTAAAACAAAAGGGGCATCGCTTAAAAGCCTGTGAAATCTCCTCCTCAGTCCACCCCAAACTCTTCAACACTTCAACTTTCTTGTTCCAAGTGGACTCGCTCATCTGTAGCATCACTCTAAGAGCATGTATAAAAACGGGAGTCTTTGAATCAATGTCCAAATTTTTAAGAGCATTCATAGCATAAATCATCCTATGATGCTTTTGCTGTATAGTTCTTGGTTGCAACATAATCAGTTTTGCAATCCTATCGACAGGCACTCCCTCTTTTATCAATAAATCAATGTTTGGTTCCATAGCAGACAGCATTGATACCGAACATCGCTTAAAAGCCGATGCAGCTTTCTCACTGCTACCAAGAACTGACTTCAAAAGCTCAAAGCATGGTATAATTCGAGAATCTAAAGCCCTTCTCAAAACATCCGGATTTGCTACAATAAGCTCGGGCAGAATCTCACCAACAAAGCCATTTTCTATGAAGAACTCAAATTTGGGCTTCAAATTGTGTTCTACTTTGCAATGGAGGACAGCAGGCCACTTGTCGATCAATTTGGCTATGTGGGCATCCCTAAAATCGTGAGATTTCAAGAACCTGATGACATAATGGGGGTTTTGGAGGTCATTTTCCTCGATTTGAAGCTTCTGGGAAACTGATTGAGCAGATTTTAAGTGAAGCCCAGGTGAGCTAAGGAGGTATTGAACAGTAAACGATGATGGGGATGAAGGAGCGAGTAGTGTAGTAGTAGGTGTTTTCAAGGAACGATTTTGTACCAGAGAAAACAGGTTTCGCATTGGTATATTGCTTGCCATTTGTAGCAAGCAAAATGGGTTTCGTGGACAACAAAAATGATTGGGGGAAGGAAAAGGGTTTGTGGAAGAGTTTCGTGTTAGCTGTTGGGTTTGGACCAGATAAGATAAGGTTGCAAAATAAGCCCGTTTCAGCCTTTCAGGCAGGACCACCGAAGAAAATTCATATATCTTTTGTTTTATTTATTTTTTTATTGAGTAAATTATAAATAAGTCCCTCTATTTTTTAAAAATAAATTAATTAGTCACTTTTGTTTTCAAAAAATAACTATTTAATCTCTCAATGGCATTGATCATGTTTAATTTAATACTATTTTATTTCAAAAATATTTTTTTTATCAATTCTTCTATATTTTTTAATTTCTTAAAATAAATAGAAAAAAAACTAGATTAAGTTAAAAAATTGACACATCAAAAAATTAGTTTTTAAAACAAAAATAATAAATTTCTCAAAACTAAAGATCAATTTCTTTTTTTCTTTGACCCTATATATATATATATATATATATATATATATATAATGATTAGTTTGAATGAAATGAGTTCTAATTGTTTAGAGTTCGAAATTTAAATTTTTATACATACAAAAAAACTTATTAAACAATTGTATCTATCTTATACGTTTAATTAAAAAACGAGCTATTAATTTAAGTTTTTAAGCCTAAGATTTCTTAGAAATTAAAAAAAAAAAAAATCTGCATTCCTAAATAACAGATGTTACATAAAGAAAAGATTGTTATTCTATAGTATTATCGATACTCGCGAAAGCCCCGACAAGGTCCTCTTCTCCCATTCTATGCTTTTCTTTGAGTTGCTTAGGTAGAGGAGGCAATGCACGTAGACGTGACAAAGCACTTTTAACCACACTCTCTAAATCACTGCGCATAGATTCAATGGTTGTCCCAAGTCTCTTGGTTTCTCTCACATATTCCCGGTCCATCGCAATTTCTTCATCTCTCCCACGTAGCTCGTCCTTGAGGCGTTCTATTTCTTCTTCTTTGGTAGCTCGACAATTTAGAGAGTACAGAGCTGATCAGACCATTTCATCATGGGATGATTAAACGTCCTAACAATTACCAGAAAATCCTAAGATACAAAGTACAGAGCTGATCAGACCTGACAATGAAATTAATGATATGCTCAACAATTTTAACATTAAAATGATTGCTTCATATGCTCCCCACATATAAGTAGCCACTTCAAACAAGTCAAAGTGAGAAGGGTAAAGGAAATTAAATGAAGAAAAAAGAAAAAGACCATGAAACAAGAGCCAAATAACACTAAGAACCAATATCCAATATGTCGTTCAACTAATAATTAATAATATAATATGGAACAAGCAAACACAAAAACCACCTCTGTTCCACAAGGTTGGACAATTTGCCTAGATTAATCACGGAAAGTTCAGGATAGTTTTTGTAGTTTTGCCTTCCATCATATTTGTCCTGTTATTGAACAAAATAACTTTTATTATATAAACAAATTTAATCACTGTAATAGAATCCATGACCAGTTGACCTAGATCCCTTTCAGTTTACTATTATTAATCATATAAAGGAAAAGGCCAGAGTCTTTTTAAGGTTCCTCTCGCTACTTAAGCAAAGACAGCTCTTTGTTAGAAGCACCTCCATAAATGCAAATCCTCTTTGTTTAATTCTAGTTGATTTTCTTTGGTTTTTTTTAAGGCCTTTAAACTGATGCTACTCCCATTTGCCTGGATTCAAACTTCCCTTACAACAAGGAATGGTTGCTTGGCTAATCAAAGAGGTTCAACAGTATTCACTTTTGTTATCTATGAATTTTAAGGATCTACTGCAATTATTTTAACATGAGATGATCATGTGAACATAAATTTACCTAAAAGCTATTTTTATTAATTAGTTAATCATCATAATCATGGCATTCTGTTTCGAAGCAGCAATTCAAATAGTTTTCTAACACGAAACAACTCAACATGCCAAACTCTGTACTCCTTATACTTGTGTTCTTTTTCAATCCTACAAACAATTCTAATTAATAAAAAATAAAAATACAATGAATAGCCAAAAGAAAAGGAAAAGAGCTTCTAGGCAGTGACATTAAATACACTGCCTGAGAAAAACTCGTAGTGACAGAAAAAGGTGTACGAAAGAAAAAAAATACAATGAAAAATAAGGGCAACGACGTAATAGCACAAAACCACATTTTAAAATAAAAAGCGAAGCAAAGGAAAAAAAGCCAACAACCGCAACTCCAAGACCAAACACACTACGAAATAAAAAAAAAATCCAAAACCAATAATAATGCACCCAAGAACAGAGATGAGCAATCCCACGATTGCAACAATAGGATCACAGAAGGAAAGCAAACCACAGTAAAAAATAGTGTTAATCCACAGTGTTCTTGGGTCTGCAGCTACAGAGGAACGCTCAGAAACTCAACAGTGAACTAACATTTTTTTTTCTTAGCGTTTCTTGTTAAATTTTCGCTGTAACATGCTCATTAGTTGTCAATTAATGGAGATGTATGACCCAAAAGAATTTATTTTATATATATATATATATATATATATATATATATATATATTTATTTATTTATTTATTTATTTATTTATTTATTATTATTATTTTTTTTTCAAACCTTTGATTCGATTTTTAAGGTACTTAAAGCGTATAAAATGAAATCTTGAGTATTTGAAGGCCGTAAGGATAATTATTCTGGGCCGAAAATGGTGTTTGGTGGGTGGCCTTGGTCGATGGAACTCGGTTTTCCAACAACAACTCGTCGTCTGCCCATTGTTTTTGTTCATTTATGGCACTGGGCCCAAGGCCCAGATTTACAAAGCTGGGTTGTCTAAACGATATTGCAGTAGAAGTGATTCTCAAAAAAGGAATTTCCAAACCTCAAAATAAACTAACGAAAACAATAGAACAAAGAGTAAATTATAAATTAGTCCTTCTCTTTACAAGAAATAAATTAATTAGTCCTTCTGGTTTCAAAATCTAATTATTTAATATGTTTTACTAGTGTTTATCACAATTAATTTATTTTTTATTTTATAAAATGTATCTTCTTCTCATGAATCTTTCCATAATTTTTACTTATTATTTTTCTTTTTTATTTCTTAAAACAAAATAAATTAAATTAAAAAATAGCAAAAAGGATTAAATGATTGAGTTTTGAAAGAAGGAGACTAATCAATTCATTTCTTAAAACAAGAGGGACTGATTTATAGTTTACTCCTAAAAGATAGTACTCTTTGTTTTTGTTTATTTTACTGCTTGTCAAGATCCATACACCCTCGTTATTTAAACCAGCCTTTTTTTTGTCACCCTCAATTTTGTTGCTATTTTCTATTATGCTACTTGGTGGCTTTGCAAAATTATAATGTTGCCCTTTTATGATTCCGATTTCACTTTTTGTTTTTCGGCCCTTTTCTGTCATTTGGCTTCTAACTTTATAGGACAAAACATTTAATACTGCTAATTTGAATTTCTTGCTTTATTTCTTTTCTTTTCAGTCTTCACTCTCTCACTAGAAGAACTTGTCATAGCATGAACCACTCATATTTTTTAAGATTTTCAATTAATTAAAAATTATGTTTTAGATTATTATAAATTTTTATTAAAGAATCCATGCAAATAAAGAAAAAAAAGATTTTTGAAGAAGGAAATCTATTAAAAAAACATAAAAAAGAATTAATTAAGCGTGGAATTGGGATTAAAATAATCATAAAATTGGGTGGGGTTTTTTTGGAGGGGGTGGGCGAGGCCGGGGCGTTTGATTTCTATATATTTTAGTGAACCTACAACGTGATAAGAACCATCTAATGATACAGATTCTTTTCAAATGATTTGATCTATTATACCCAATTTGCAATGCAGTGCGGACAAACCATTAGTACTAATCTATAAGAAGAAGAAGAAGAATATATAAGGAAAAGAACATGAAAAAAAAAGAAAAGTCACAGCAAACTTTGAACTTTATCAAGCCAACTGCATAAAACAGACCCATCAAATTGGATTTACAGAGGAAACCAGCATATGCAGCTTGTTGAATTTAACAAAACTATGATACCATTTGTTAAAATTTATGGAGCATAAAAGATTTGAGCAGAGAAAATACCACATAACATTATTTTATTAATTACAAATACTTGTACACCAACTCTTTGAACATAGAATGAATATTATTTTGAATCATACTAGTTCTATTCACATCATACTTGTCCATAATCCTATAACTACATACTCTAACTCACACAACTCAAACATGAAAAATTCTCTCTTGTTCCTAACTAGCTTTCTATAGCTAATTGTTTGTTTCTTAACTTCTTCCCTTAACCAAATGCATGAGAGATATATTATAACATATACTAAAAGAGAATGGGATTTCATCGTTTTTAAGCTCTTGCTACAGTTAACCTAAAACGGCATCGTTTTGAACATTACACTAACTGATACATGGAAATTTAACTAAATTGAGCCACTGTAATAGAATCCATGACCGGGTGATCTAGACCCTTTAGCTTATTATCATATAAAAGAAATGGCCAAACGATTTTTTCTTCTGGCTCCTCTAATGCTTCACTGGTTAAATCAAGACACATATTGGTTAGAATTTCCTCCATAAGTGGAAACCTTATTTGTGTAATTCTAGCTGATGGTATTTGTTCTTTGAGGGCCTTTAACCTGATTCCAACTCAACTCCTTTTTTCCCCACATCCCAATTCCAGATTCAAACTTAAGACATCCCCTTTACGAGAAGAAATGGTCACTCAACTAATCACAGTGTTTCGGATTTATTAGCTATGATTCAAGTAACATTCAGAGAAAGTGTTGTTAAAGGCTGTGAAGTAACCTTAGGATCGTATTGTAGTTTTGCCTTTCCATCATATTTGTTCCTGCGATTTCACAACATGACTTAGATTATTTAACTAAATTAAATCATTGTAATAGAATCCGTGACCAGTTCATCTAGATCCCTTTGAGATTACTATTATTAATCATATAAAGGAAAAGGCCAAATGGTCTTTTTAAGGGTTTCTCTCATTACTTAAACAGAGGCGGCTCTTTGTTAGAATCACCTCCATAAATGCAAATCCTCTTCGTTTAGTTCTAGTTGATTTTCTTTGGTTCTTTTAACTTTTAAGGCCTTTAAACTGATTTTACTCGCATTCTTCCAGATTCAAACTTCCTTACAACAAGGAGTGGTTGCTTGGCTGATCACTACAGGTCGGCATTATCCACTTTTGGACGTCAAGGAATAGTGAGTTTCTACTGCAATCATATTTTACACACTTGTTCAGGTATCATGACTGCGTGTTGCAGTCCAACAGGGCAGGATGTTTCAAGTTCTGCCAAGCAATTATGATTTGGACAACAATCTATTAACATGGGCAGAACTACTATTCATGGAGTTTCACGTAGAGCTACATGTTGGCAAACATGGCAATTGTTCCTTTGTTAGAACAGAAAATGTGACCAATTTTTTTATGAAATTAATTTCACTGAGCTATCCCTTACTAGAATGTTCCCATAGACCATACTAGTAGTGGTCCGTGGAACCCCCATTAACATTTCTACTTGCTCGTAAGTTATTCCAATTAGAATGTCACCAATGGAGAATATTGTTAGTTTTTTTCTTTAATTTAATTCATCTAGAGATTTGTTGGATTTTGAGACGGACAATGAGAGTAGTTATGTTTTATCATACAATAACCAAATAAATTAAAGAATTACCAAATATACCATCGTTAAACTATATTTGCTTTTAAAATATTATTAGTTGGTAGTACGACTCTCAATGGAGATCGAAATTCGGATGAAATCATAATAAATTTGAATTCAATTTATTTAATAAACGAATAAAATTAGATCTTTACAACTTTGAATTGAATTTCTTAATTGTCGAATCAAATCCAAATCTTAATGGGTTTGAACCAGATTCGATATTTATCATATTTATCATTCAATCTTTCAAAGAAAAATTGTTGATTGCATTCAAATTCATGTTTTGATGTCAAATGAGTTTCAACCACTAGTATATTATATTTCACATGTAAATTTAAAAAGAAAATTCTAAATGTCTCACTTGATAAGAATTGATGTTAAGTCAAAATTAATTTAAATTATAAAAGAAATACCACAAAGCTAAAAGAAAATAATAAACATGCATTCTCTAAATACAATTTGATTGGGATGAAAACAAGTCTTAATATCTTACATATAACAAGCTTTGAAATGGACAAAAAAAAAGAAAAAAATTAGATCAATACCTAATAAATTAGAAATACAAATATAATTGTGACAACTCCTTAACTTTTCCCCATGTTTATAGGATTTTTCATCAAATTAATTTGAGACTTGAAATAGATGAATAAAAACATATCACGTGGTTATTTAAAATAATAGTCATTACTATAGAGGATTAAAAAAAAATCAAAGTTCAAAATGTTAATTATTTAGCATTTAAAGTAAATAAATTATAAATCTAAGCCTAGTTCCACACATTTTTCTTATTTTCTGTATTTAAATTTGTTAATATTAATATTAATTTTGAATTGAATGATTGTCAAATCGAATCAAAATAAATACATATTTAATATATCTAATAAACAAATTAATGAATTACATTGAAATCAAATTAAATATCAGAATTCAATATATTGATCGATATATAGTTCTAATCAGTAGCTGACAATATCAATTTAAATCGGAATATTACTTTTCCAAAAAATCGATCAATTAATGCAAAAAGGTATCGAGAGGAATAGGATTATGTATATATTTGGAGATATGAAAAAAATTTAGCTTTGAACAAGTTCACTAATCTTACCGCCTACCTACCAGTCTGCTGCAATCTTGTTCTTTTTTTTTCTTTTTTTAATTATTATTATTATCAAAGGCCGAGCGCACGGGCCTAAGTCCATGCGTGGGGGCTTGGCTTCCCCTGCCGTTCTCTTTTTTTTTTTTTTTTTTTTAAATACGTTTCAAATCATATTAGAGTCTTTTATATCAATGGTAGTCATTAATAATAAAACATGAACTATTGTGGATAATTATTTTATTTATGAATTTTTTAAATTAATTTTTACTTTATTTTTCTCATACAATCATATAAAAGTTATTAAGGCATATCTTTTTTTTTCAATTGAAATTTGCTCTTAAAAATTTATCAAAAAATACAAGCATAAATAAAAATAAATCATGTTTTTCAAAAAGATAAATTTTGTAGAAAATAAAAGAAATAATTAACTATATATAAAAATTTGATGCAAAGTCACACTAGTACAATTTGTTTCATAAGGATACTCTAAACTTACATTTCTTTTTGAAAAAAAAAATACCATCCATATTAATGACAAAACTATATTTTTTTAGAAAACAATTGACCATGAAAAAAGTGATAAGGTTCTTTTAAAATAAATTTTCTTATAACTAGTATGCATGAATTCCTCTACTTGTTCATAAAATAATGAATCTTAATATATATATATATATATATATATATATATATATATATTTATTTATTTATTATTATTATTATTATTTTTTGGGTTTAGCGGCGAAAATATTTTAGAATCACTTCACGCTCATCGACGTCAAATTCTTCTTCTTTTTTTTTTTTTTTTTTTTGTAGAGACTTAATCATATAATGTTCACATCATTCCAAATTGTTATATATATATATATATGAACAAGAAATTTTTCGTCTAGCCTTAGGTTTAGAGCATGAATAAAGATAAGGTTTGAAATAAATTTATTTGTTATGAGGATCAACACCTGCAAACTGAAAATTTTGAAACCCTAATCGTACAAAACAAAAAAATATATATCCAAATTATAAATTGAAAGGAACAGTTTGAACTTAACTACGCAACAAATATCCGAAGTGTATATATACTAGCCCATTAAATATCAGAACCCTGTTGTACTTTCAATTTTTAGTTTTTTACGCGCAATCTCTCCATGCTAACCATATTTCTTTATCCTTGTCGCACAAGGATTTCGAATCCTTTATTCGCAGGATTCCAAATTTTTAATAGTATAATTATAAGGCAACCCTATTCCACTTTCTAGTATTTGCGGATACACACACACAAAAAAAATTTGCTTTTTTTTTTTTTTATGGTTTGTGCTCTTGGGGTTGGGTGTATTCAATGGTCTTTTTTACCCATCCAGGAAGTTAGCAACGTAGGGTTTCTGGTTCTTTATCAGTTCCGGTAGGTTTCTTGATTAGTGATCAGGTTTAGAGCGATTGGTTTTTCGTTGTAAGATTTGGATCTTTCGGCGCGCAATGGAGAGGTACAGGTTGATTAAAGAACTCGGGGAGGGTGCTTTTGGCAGTGTCAGGCAAGCGATTGATCAAGAGTCCGGTGAAGTTGTTGCTATAAAGCAGATCAAGAGAGAATATGAGTCATGGGAAGAATGTCTGAATTTGAGAGAAGTCAAGTCCTTACAGAAGCTGAATCATCCTAACATTGTCAAGCTTAAGGAACTGATCCGAAGAAACAAGATTTTGTATTTCGTTTTCGAGTACATGGAACAGAACCTTTATGAAGTCATCGAAGACAGGAAAACTCTGTTCTCAGAAGCAGAGGTTAGGAACTTGTGTCGCCAGGTTTTTCAGGGCCTTGCCTACATGCACAAGCAAGGATATTTTCATCGTGACCTGAAACCAGAGAACCTGTTGGTTACTAGAGATATGGTCAAGATTGCTGATTTTGGTCTTGCAAGAGAAATCAATTCGAGACCACCATATACACAGTATGTCACCACTCGCTGGTATCGAGCTCCTGAAGTTATGCTACAATCGGATTTTTATAGTTCTAAAGTGGATATGTGGGCTATGGGTGCTATCATGGCGGAATTATTCACTTTTTGTCCGCTGTTTCCCGGTACCAGTGAAGCGAACCAGATGTTCAGAATATGCAGTGTACTAGGCACTCCAACTATGGATTCATGGGCTGATGGAATTCATCTAGCAAGGAATATCCACTACCAATTTCCAGAGTTTGATGGTGTTCAGCTTTCTGCATTGATACCATCTGCTAGTGAGGATGCAATCAACCTTATTTCGATGCTTTGTTCTTGGAATCCTTGCAATAGGCCCACTGCTGAGGAGGCCTTGAAACATCCTTTCTTCAGGAGTAGCTTTTATATTCCTCCTTCCCTTCGCTTTACGGCATCCGCTAATGGAGCTATTCTTTCAGCTGGAATAAGTGGAGAATCAGCGCAGAGATGTGACAGGAGATATCTTGAGAGTTTATCTAATTCAAGCCTCGATTACAGTTTTCCTACCCCCAACAAGTTATGTACTTGTTCAAATACCACTACTGTGCATTGCGACTTCCACAGGGCTAACCAGGATGTTTCGAGTTCTGCCAAGCAATTCATATTTGGACCACAATCCATTAACATGGGCAGAACTGCTGTGTATGGAGCTTCAGATACAGCTGATACATTGGCCAACATGACATTTGGTTCACGCAGGCAACTTGTGGAACAGCCAAGGCCACTTGCTTTGGAGCTTGGAGTACGAGGAAGCAGAGTCTGCTGACATGTTTATCAGACCAACCCAACAATTTCATCCTGGCAGAATCTATACAAGGAAAGTTGCAGCCTGAATGAAAACATAAGCTAGAAGAGATTATCATCACCTTTCGTTTTATTATCTTTTCAAACCGTGTATTGACTTTGATTTTTTTTTTTTTTTTCTATTTAGTAGATCATCCATTGGAATTGACAGTTCCTTTGTTAATCAGAAAATTTGACACATAATTTGCATGATCTTTGGTTTTTTATGAAATCCAAGTTTTACTGAGCTATCCCTCCAGCATGTCCTGTATCAATATCTCTACATTGTATTTATAGGGAACCTATTAATTCAACTTGGTTCAGATTAGGATGCCATCAGCGGAGAGTTGTTACTTGTTAGCTAGCAATAAGAATTGAAGTCAGAGCAGTGCTATTTTAGGGGCTCAATCAATTAACGCAAAATCGGTACTCAAATCTTAATGATTGGATTTTAAGGAATTGGATTACTTCATATGTTTGGAGATAGGATAAAAAAATTAGCTTTGACAAGTCCACCGACCTTACCACCATCCACAGTCCACACAACAGTACCCCTGTAACATAACCCTGCCTCAACAGGTTTGTTCCACAAAACTAGGGAAAATCCTGCCCTGTTTCAAAACTATATACAGATTGGAATGAAACATCCTTTCCCGTATCAATGTTACAAATGACACGAGTAGAGGCTAAGCAAAAGCATTCTCCAAGGATACCCAAATTCTTGTAGGAACTAGCAGAGCCTCCAAAGTTTGGCAGTGGCACTATGCTTATTTCACGCCTTAGCATTAACAAACAATGAGAAGTGTTGCGAACTAGCACAGGTTGTTGCGTGTACAAGAAACCTTTTTTCTGAAATATATAATGAAGACATGCTAAACACCCTCCCCTCCCCAACCCATTGCCAGACCTAATCTTGATCCTCCGTAACTACTAATTATATTGACTTCTATTAACCAAAAATAAAAATACAGAACTATATATTTCACGGCATTCATTCCTGCAAAATAACAAGTGGACAAAAATCCATGTGAACAACCTCCTTCAAATAGCAGATTAACTTCTTCTAAACACGTCCCACAGACACAATAATCCCTAAGCAGTACATGAAAAGCCCTAACAAGGTACAATCCACAAAACTGTCCAGAAGATGAAGAATCTGAGTTCCTCGAAAGCTACTATAAAATAGAGCCCGAAAAACTAACACTGCTTAATCATTTAGTATTGGAGAAAAGCAATAGAGATCCTCAACCATGCATTCCATGTCCATAGTTTTCCAAGCAAGCGTCCTAAACCATCCATCACCAGCCCTAAGAAAAAGATGATTAGATAGCTGTCTAGTTTTTCTGCAAAGAAAAAAACAGTCATATGACAATAAGAAATCCTAAATGATGAAATATTATCTGTATTACAGCATTACAAGCATTGACCAAAAGAAAATTTTGATTACATGGCAAAATAGTCATCCTATAAGTTCCATAAATGCTCCAATCTACATGACTGTGAGAATCTTTAAATAACATTCCTTATCTACATGCCATATTTGTTTCAAAGTCCATGCCAGATTTGTAACAGCATCGAGAAATGGCAAGTCAACTGACTGGAATGACCCTTAAAGATGCTAATTGCAGCATTTGCAATGACTAGGCAAGCTTTCTGATAGCTATAACAGAATCTCAGTACAAAATGAAATTAGACAAATTAATAATAATAAACAAGCCTAAACCCTTGAGAGGAGAAAATCATCTTGTGCATGAGTGAATCTCTTCCTACCTCATTTTGGGGCCAAAAACGTGGGAGAGAATAAGAATTTAGGAAAATCAGAGATAGCATAGTCAGTTCAAAAAAAAAAAAAAGAAGAAGTTATATTTAGTGTAAAAGCACAAAAAGGAACAAAGGTCAATTACAAGAAGCATTAGTTAACTATAATATGGTAGCTGAATCAATTGATTTACCTATGTTGACGTTACTCCAACTGAACATACTTCTCTACTGGCTCATAAAACCAGCTTGAACACCTTTGATAAGAACTCATCTCTGGCAGATACAGGAGCAAATACATATCAGATCGAGCTAATTATACGAAAACACAGATTGCCCAAGTGTTTATGCATAGCAACTGAACCAATTGTCAAACTATATCATCATTGGAACAATAAAAGGGAACAATTAACGAAACCGTAAACATAAACTAGCTTCAACAAATAGAATAACACAAACCTTTTCTTCCTGGTCTTCCTTTTCTCTTCCTATCAATCGGACCACCAAAACCACCACCATTTAGTGTAAGAAGACTTTCTACACAAATCTCAGCTATAAATATCAGAGGAGCACCTCGAATATTGACAATCTTGGGCTTCCTCCTCAAATCATACCATAAAAAAAAAAAAAAAAAAAAACAAAACTATTATCCAATTCCAACAGAACTTTGTCCCCACTGTTTGAATAAGTTAAAGGTCTAACATACATGCAAAACTCCTTCACTTGTAACTGTGCAATAATAGTACACCTGAGTCCCAGATCACTTCACACCACACTCCTTCATCACCCATATTTCAACCTGTATCCTGATTACAAAGCACACATAAACACCCTCCTAAAACTCCCGCATTCATTTCTTGCTCATTGCTCCAATGATCAGGTTGTGGTATTATCTTAAACTCCTCGACTCCAAGATCAAAAGCAACAATCAAATCCCTCCCATTTTCTTTTCCCTGTCCCACTACAGTCGCCTTCCAATGAACAACGCTATTATTAGCAAACACACCATACCCTCTTCTACAATCAGGGTGATAAACCTCAAGTCATAAGGATATTCATCAATTCATTTCCAATAATTTTGACTTCAATCGATAAACTTTAACCTCACAGTGAAAAAAACCCATCAGGCATGAGGAGTATCGCCGCAAACGTGAATAAATCTCACAATGTCATAGTCTTCACCAATGGGGTCATGTCCAAGTCCATAAAAATTGAACTGGCAAGACACTATGGAATGATCCAAGTCATTTGGCAATTCTAACAGTGATAAGGGTAGCATTTTCTTTTCCCTAGTTGATGGATTATATATAGCAATACTGTAGTCAGAATTCAATGGAGCGAGCATTCCACTATAAGAGCCCATTACTTCAGTAGCGTAGTAGTCACTTTTTAAAGGGTTGTTATCAGTTCTAAGAATGAGACTGAGATGGGTGTGCGCTTGTGATGATCTTTTGAGATGAATGTTGATCAAGTATGGACAGTCGATTTATTCGTACCATTATTTAGACACGCACCTGAAACGTTTGAGGGATTTAACCGGTAGTCTGCTTAGAGTGTCGGTCGTGATCTTCGGCGAGAACATCATCAACTTCTTTCAACGGTGGTGTTGGTTTTTGTCTATAGGGAATGTTTTTAGAAAAAAAAAAGGAGGAAAAATTATTGGGCAATAGAAATGTAGCCGGAAGAGTGGGCCTAGAACTCTTTCACTGATGGGCCTCTAGTAAGCCGACGAATTCCTTTGGTAAAAGGAAAGCAGTATCCAGCTTTTTAGGTTCCTTGAGGATTAGGATTGTGAATCATTATCCAATATAAATTCGTGTCTTGAATCTCATATTAATTGGCATTAGATCTCTCTCAAATATAATAAGAAAACGAAGATCTCTTTCGAAAAAAAAGGTCAAAGACTGTTTGAAGGGAATAGACAAAACTCTAGATAAGATCATGACAAGCCGGCGTGGTAGAGGCAGGCCACCTAAGTGTTCATACAAGAACACTAATCACCCTTCTCCGGTGAATAACCTTCATTCTACGGTTGGTTATTTTCCACAACATATAGCAAGGAAATCAAGGACAAGAACCAAAACAATTGCTGGGAAAACATGGCCTCGTACGAGTCCTGGAGATGTTGAAACGCTACCACAGTGGGTTACGGAAAAAAATTATAGCCTACCACAATGGATTACAAAAAAACAGAATATTAATCCAAAGTCAATCAAACTATCGGAGAATATAAGTAGAACATCAAGCAATGAGTCCAGTTCATCTTCATTGTTGGAATCTTCTTTGGTTCCATGGATGGCAGAAATTGTGATTCCAGGACCAATTCCAGACCTCGATTCTTTGTCCAATGAAGTTAGTTTTTTAAAGGATTTTTTTGCAGATGTACCAGTAGATTAACATGTTTACCTTATATGCATAGATACCTCTCCTTTTTTAGACATAGTTTTCATGGAGATAATAGATATTTTAAAGCTTTTTTATAGAACAAATTTATTTACCCAGCAACTGAATTTAATTTGCCAATCTATTTGTAACAGAAGAAAACAAATAAGATTAGGAAAAAAACTCCAAAATCTTATTTCCAGCATGCAACTCAGTCGTTCAAGGGCTTGTTACTTGAGTAGTATCTGGCCATCTAGCAGCAAAAAAGCCATCTAAAAACGAAGGAAATACAGAGAAAAGCATAGAAAATGCATGCAAGTCTGGCACATAGCGCGGACAAAAAAAGATTACCATATTCCCCATCCCCTACAAAATCCATATGCCGACATCTACATGAAAAACCTCAGTTAAACCAAATACATTGATCATAAGCTTCTCAGCATCAAGCTTGTAGCTGATAATTTGTTTCCCACACGGCCATTCAAAGAACATATGCATTCATTCATTCATGGGAAGCACTGAGTTAGAAATTTGCTTCCCAACCCTCTTCCGCATTCAGACTACCTTAATGAGTTTCTCAGCAACCCAGCCAGTAGTACTTTGTATATATCAAGTTACAGACCTATTTTGCCAAAAACTCTACATTTACCGATGATACGCTTTTCGAAACCAAAGGCATAAGTGACCATTCAAATTCTTCCCAGAGAGACCTGAATCATAAATTGCTCCTCAGTTCATCACATTTTCTTCCAAACTAATAAAAGAAATGTACATAATCTAGGGAAATTTATACTCAGTTATAATATCTTAATTGAATTCATGATATTCAAGGAGTTAATACAGAAATGTAAATTCCAACAGGCAAGCACAAAACCACCTCTAATTCAAGCGAAGGGTAAAAGCAAGTTAGACTACTATTATTCATTGGATTGCAGAAGTAAATTTACTTTCTTTTCCATCAAGTATCCGCCTTTACAGTCTTGCTGATACCCCTATATATGCCTCTAATAAACCTGGGACATTGTACGCATACTTAGTAACATAATTTTCCAAGAATTTCTTCTCGCTCAATGATGTTAGCAGCCACTTAATGTTCGAGTCCCCATCAATCAGGTTCTTTGACTTCAAAGTCTTCAAAATATTGTACCTTGGACGAAGCCTTTTATCAATTGAGTAATGAAGGAGCCACGAGTTCGAATAATAGTTTGAGGTTTCAAGCTCAAGGTACTCGCAAAAAAATCCATGGCACCCCTGATCTTCTCCTCTGAAGATCCCAAAATAGAGGGGTTTTGTTTAAAAGCCTGTAAAATCTCCGCCCCGGTCCACCCCAAACTTTTCAACCCTTCAACTTTCTTCTTCCAAGTGAACTCGCTCAATTGTAACATCACTCTAAGAGCATGTATAAAAATGGGAGTCTTTGGTTCGATGCCCAAACTTTTAAGAGCGTTCACAGCATAAACCATCATATAATGCTTCTGCTACATAGCTCCTGGTTGCGACATAATCAGTTTTGCAACCCTATCAAAAGGCACTCCCTCTTCTATCAACAAATCAATATTTGGTTGCATAATACCTTTCAAATCACACTTCAACAGCCACGGAAAACGCTTAACAACCACAACAAGTTTCCCAGCACAACCAATAAATGACTTCAAGAACCCAAAACATGGTTTAATTTAAGAATCTCAAGGTTTGATCGAAACAAATGGTTTTGAAAGAATAAGTTCAGGCAGAAGCTGGCCCACTAACCCATGTTCAATGAAGAAGTCGAATTTCGGCTTCAGTTTGCTTTCTACTCTGCTTTGGAGGAGTTTGGGCCGCTTCTCGACAAGTTGGGAAATGTAAGTGAAGCTGAAGTTGTGAGCTTTCAAGAACTCAATAACAGATTTGGAGTTTTGGAGTTTCTTTTCATCCATTTGGAGCTTTTTTGAAACTGAAAGAGCTGATTTTAAAGGAAGCCCACATGAATTTACAAGGAATTGAACTGTAAATGATGGTGAAGAACTACTGGTGGGTAGTGGAGAAATAGGAGGAGAAAGGGTAACAGCAGATGTTACCAAGAAACGTTTTTGAAGCACAAGAAGCAAGTTTCTGATAGGTATAACGGTGGCCATTATGGGAGCAAAATGAAGCTTCTTGAAAACATAATTGGGGTTTGAGATTGGAAAAAAGCTAGTAGGAAATAGACAGAGACAGAGAGATGCCTAGAAGGACTAGGAGAACAGCACTAACCAAGAAGGGTTTTGTTCTGTCAAAGTGACGGCGGTTTGATTGTCTCTGTCTCTGGAGTCGGACAGAAGATGAAGCATATGGGCTGGCTTTGATACTTTTATAGCGGGCTCCTCTCCACCCTCTTGAAAAAAGCAAGTTAGCCCTTGATTTTTATGTTGCTCTAATTGAGTCCTCTTTCTTTCATGCAATTTACAATTTCACAATTCACCAAATCAGCAGTATTTTTAGTTGTCTCTGTCGATCTAGGCAGAAAGAAGAGCAAGGGAGTTTAGGGAACAAACCATGGAGAGAAACCATCAAAATCGTCAGCAACGTGGAAACCATGTCTCTTTGTCATCCTTTTCTCAATCAACAAGGCCCAAAAACACCAAATTTTCAAACTTTAATCAGTCCAGCAGTGCCACTAATTGTGCTACTACTACGAATAGAAGTAATGCCCATGACGTACCCCAGTGGAAACCCAGAAGAGGAAACACAAGTAGCTGCAATACCCAGAAAGAAATAATCAAAACAGAAGAAGATAAAGAAGAGGATTCTTCAGGCTTTCCAAGACTAATTGGAACTTGCCCTTTTATGTGCCCAGGTAAGGGGAAAAAACACAACTTTTACATGGTTATAGTCTTTCAGTCATTTTTTTATTGTTTGTTATTGCTTCAGACTAGTTTTGGATGATTACTGTTGACTCTTTTATATCTTAGGGGCAAGTTCTTGATATAGTCCTAGCTCCTGTTGTGTGTGCGTTTTTTTTTTTTTTTTTTCACTCACACACCCATGGCTACTAGCAGAACTAGTCTGCTAGTATCTAAACCCGTGACCTATTGTTGCAAGAGACCACTACCACTGGGCTACAAGCTGTTGTGTGTATTGGTGTGTGTTTGAAAGGAGGGAATCCAGGACAGATTTGGTGTCGAAATGGATGTATGTTAGAATTTAGCATGGAAGCTTCTCGTGTGCTGGATTTATCTTTTAGTCATAAATGCAGTTGTGTCCCTTTATATATATTGTACTTGTTTTTATTCTTTGTTTTGATTCATGGCAATGTGTAAAGGACTTTGAAGAGCTATTTTGTTAGATTGAGTCTTGGATTGCAGGTGAACTTGGGACATGAGGTCTTTGTGACAGGTGAGGTGCCAAATTGATCCATTTTTGCTCCCCATTTTAACTTATATTTGGATGAGAAGCTATTATAAAGACATATGGGAGGAAGCTAGTTGCGTGAGAGACTGAGATATCATTCCACTGTTTATCTTGATGGGGAATGATCAATGTGTTATTCTTTTCTGTTATCTGAGGACATCTAATTTATCTTCTTGAGCAGATATCTCCTGTCAGATTTCCTTTGTTTAGTCAGATAGCTGCTTTAGTGTGGGAACAAATGAATTGAGCCAAGTTGAGATTGAATTTTTTAGAAGTATCTTAGTTATGATTCTTTCTGTCTTGGATTTTTCTTACTCAATGTTTGCTCCATTCAGCTATACATTTGATCAAATGCTTTTGAAGTTTCTCTATTCTGCACAACCTATTGATCTAGTTAAGAGAAACAGGTTTTTTTATAAAGTAGAGGAGGCAGTCGTGCTATTTTGATTTATTTGGTGAGGCAGTTTTTAGTGTCAGAAGCAATTGTGTTTTTAATTTCCAAAAGACACCATATTTGTTCCTTGTTACGCCTGCTAACTAATATATTTCATCTTTGTGATAATAGAGAGTGAAATGGCCCAGCGAATGCGACTGAGAGATTTAGCTGTGTTTGAGAGACTCCATGGAAATCCCAGGAAAACAAATTCAGCCTTAGCAGTCAAAAAGGCAAGTTACCTATTATGTCTGCTTACGTCATTATTATTTTCTCCTCCTAGAATATATTTTGATCATTATGCACTGCTCCAATTTCCTTGGATTTTGGCTGTATCGGCGCGCATTAGGTTCAAGCTTGTTGGGAACACGTTCATCCATCCCCTCCTGCACCATTATGTGCCTCCAGAATGCCCTTCTGACATTGTTTTAGTCCGCTTTCCTTGTAACTGCAACCAACTGAATCACAACCTCCATTGGCAGTGCAAAATTTTTCCTCTACTTTCGTTTTGGCATTTCTTTAAGAAGGTGTTAGATTTTCTAAATACACCATAAGCTACACTCAAAAGTAGCAATTACACTTGACACATGTCAGTTGTGCCAGAAACATCACTCTCTCAATTGTCTGTTAGTTGTATGGATTACTCTTCTACTTGACTCTAGCAATTCTGTTTGCAACAGTTATCTAGATCTACCTAAGAATTGCTGGTCTGATAAGGCTATCAATTAAATGTTTCTGAAATCATGCTAATGAAATTGTGTTATGTACTGAGAGTGAGCTCTGTCATGTTTTTCAACGTTTTACAAAGACATTAATTTTTTAGGCAGCCTCGCTTTATTTTCTTTATTTATGAACAGATGAAGTTATTCTAAATTATTTTGCGTTGCCTTTTTTCTTTCAAAATCAATGTATTGAAAAAAGAAAAAGGAAAGGGAATTTCTATTTGCTTTGTACCTTTCCTTTGTCTTTTAAAAAATTGAGCTTGACATCCTCTTCATTGTAATTATTTGCTATTATGAAGTCACTGGATCAGTTATCATTATTATCATAAGTGCCTTAGAAATGCAATATTGGAAAATAAAAATTGCCCTAGTAATGGTCTTCATCCAATTTTTTTAATTATCTTTTCATTCATTTATATATCTGGAAGCCTTCGCATGATTGTCATAGATTGCTATTTTGTACTGTTGATAGTTCTTTTGGTATGTTATCCGCTCGTTCTTTTCATTTTTTCAATCGCTTTGCTTTCTGAAGTATTATATGTTGCTACCTTTCTTTTCTTTTCATCTTTGGACATTGTTAGATGCACTTATTTTCTTCATAATGTTAGGATGCTTCATTTCCTAGAGACAATATGCTTTTGAGTCCCCTACACATTGTTATTAGGTGTTTCATAGTGCATTAAACATTTATAAGATTCAGAAAGTCACCACTTGTATTTCTATCACTAGTTTTGCAGAACTATATCCACCAAGCACATGCAAGCTTCTGATGTGCGGCCATTTCCAGTATTAGAAAACACTTTGGACTATCTCTTAAACTTGCTGGATTCAACAGACCTTCCTTTTGAAGTGGTTCATGACTTCATTTTTGACAGGACAAGGTCTATAAGACAAGATCTTAGCATGCAGAATATTGTTGATGATAAGTCAATCTACATGTATGAGAAAATGGTACGGTTCCTTGGCAAAAACCTTCAATTATTTCCTCCTCCTAAGGGTGATTGACTTGTTCTTTCATGAAGTCCAATTTATGTATAATGAATTAGATTACTAGAAACACTTTTCTCATACAAATTGAGAAATAGTTATTTGCACTTTACATTTTCTGAGTAAGTAGTACAGTTTGTTGCGCTGTTTGTTGATGAAGTGATAGCAACTGTAAATGATCAAGGCTATTTCATCTTCTATTATTTGCTCTTCTATAATCATTTTGGGGACAATATAGGAGAAGAAAGGTAGCACTTATTTTTTGTGTGCCTAGAAAATAATGGTTCCGGCATGCCATTAGGTGCACCTAGATGGCCAACCAAAATAAGCAAATGGACCATTTCTATTGGATACAGTTGGATGCACTTGAAAGAGACTATGGATAATAATGTTTCATTAACTCAAAATATTTGGGCCTTCAGAATTTAAGTCATGCGGATGATTTTTGGATGTATTTTTGTTAAACAGGTTAAATTTCATGTTATATCTCACCTCAAGCTTCGACGTTGTGGTGGTAGTACAAATATTTCTTCAGTGCATTACCTCAACATGGAGCAGCTTACAAAGGCTCTGATGTCTCTATATAATCTGTATGATGCAAATCGAGATTCTAGTACTGTTTATGGAAATGAGGCTGAGTTCCGTTCACTTTACGTGCTGCTTCATCTTGATTCTATGACCCAACCCATGGTTGATCTCTACTTCATTGATGTGGTTAAAAATTTTTGTACATTTTTAAAGGCAGCTTCTGCTGGGTACTAAATATGTGAATTGCAATTATTTTTCATCAAAAGGGGGAGTCACTTTCTTTGTGGTTTCGTCATGTGCCTCGTCAAATTATCCAGTCAAAAGAAATGTGTTTTGCCCGGAGTATTCTAAGGTATAATAAAATATTTGCACCATTTTGTTACTTTTCAGCAGTTTTGCTTATCTATGTAGCATGCTATCTTTCTCTTCTTCTTTTTTCCTTTAATTTGTTTCGGACATTTTCATTCTTTATGTTTCTAACAGCTATTTTCGGATGGGCAATTATAAGCGTTTCTTTTCTACCATATCTGCTGAAGCATCTTATCTGCAGTACTGTATTCTTGAACCTTACATCAACGAGGTAATGAAATCTTTTGGTTTTGTGTAAACATTGTCTTCTGGTATTTCTTCTTTTATCACCAACAAAAAATAGCAAAGCATTCTGATAGTTTGGATCTTAATTGGATTCGACAACTACTTTAGTGTTGGACTAATGTCCCACCCCGCCCCCTTCATCCACTCCCTGTATTTCTGAAAATCTGCTGCTCTCGCATTTTGCATTCTGTGTGTAGCTTTCCATTTTCTTTCTTCCGTTCATTGGCTTTGTTTAAGTTTTCAATTTCTCTGCTTCATTAGCAAATTCATTATATTTCTGGTCAAATTAAAAACTTGCCTTTATCATCTTCGGCGATCTTTCCCCCCATACTGTGAAGGTTCGAGCACTGTCCCTGTCTTGCATAAATAATGCTGGCTATAAGCTTCATCCATACCCTCTGTTACACCTTTCCAAGCTCTTGAAGATGAAGGTACGATTTCCAATTCCTGGAATTAACTGAATTATTATTTGTATGATTAGCGTTTTTTGAATCACGAAGGCTGCATTTGGTTCTATCAGGAATCAGATTTGGAGGTACTGTGCAATGCTTGTGGCCTAGAGACCTTTTCAGATGAAATGGGAAATAAGTTGCTACCCACTAAACAAAAGACTTTCTGTTATCCCAAGGAAGGTTGTAAAAGCTACAATTTCGTGGGTTTGGAGCAGTTCGAGAGGTGACTTGAGAGTTGAGGATTGCTTTGTTAGGGGCTGTAGCATGCATAAACTGGCTTCGAAGATACAAGTCAGAACTGTGGATCTCAATAGAACCTGTTGTAAATTAATTTATGGTAATTTGTACAATAATAGTTAATATTGCAATGAATTTCCCAGAATTATTTTCTTATATGTTCTGGTTTGCCTGCATATTTGGGCATAAAAATCTGCAATTTTTCTTTTATTACATAAACAATACTTTTGACCTGTCAGAATGATCTTCTACACGATCAGATTCACGATTTGCCTCACCGAGTGAGATAGAAAGTGAGAGGAACACTTATCATCAAGCTAGAAAAGTTTGCTGTAAATTACTTTCGGAAATGTTTTATATAAATTTAATTTCTGATATCAGAAAGAAAATGCCAGAGTTTTCCCAAGAAATCATTTCCTTAAAACAGGAATCCCAGTCCTGGTCTTCATGTTCCTAGTCTACCCAAAAAGAACTGACAAAAACTTAATGAGAATACAGCATTGTGATGACAGGATAGCACTATAGCAGTTCTCTGTAGGAAATTGTCGAGCTCCCTGAAATGGTCAATAAAAAAAGACGAGCTTTTTCTTTATTTAAAAACGGTAAGGTTGGTAAGTGCAGGACAATCTATAGGATAGGAATAAAGATGAGTTTTTCTTTTCCTTTTTTTTTTAAAAAAAAATCATTGCTGGAATCTGCAACTGTCACCACCAAATATGGATGATCCTCAATCCACGAGAGGATCAACATGAGTTACATGCCTCGATGCTTGGAATTTGCATCTTCGAAACATTGCTGCAGCTCCTTTGCTTCACACGGTATATGCCCCACCTGGAACGGGTCAAGGTCACCATTTATGGATCATGTAAAGTTGAAAGAAATCAAGGGATGCAAATCTTTGTTTTTGCAGAAAAGAAAAATGGAAAACTCCCTACCTAAAAGAGAACAAAGTGATGATTTTACGCCCAAAGCAAGGTGATGATGAGAAATAAAACGAGGGCCAGTCCGAAACAGAATCCAACAATTGCTATGAAAGCCTGAAGCAGTAGAATGCAATAGTTACATGTAATCCGAAAGAACAAGAACTTTTTGAAAATGCAAAACATTAGATATGTACCTTTTCCTGAGACGCAAATTTAAATTTGACAGTGAACCATGACAATCCTCTGTCTACAAAAGGTGCAAGAGCAAGGGCCCTGGGCAAGAGGGATCTCTTTAAGAAACAAATGCATCAAAATATATAATGCAATTGCAAAGTTAGGCTGAAAGGTTTAAAAGGAGAATAAAAGATCTTTACTAAGCATGAATGGGAATCATCCAATTCATATAAATGGCAATATAAGAACATCAGACAATCATAAAACAAGGATAAGGGGGAAAACGAAGACAAGTGGATAATACAGTAATCTTGATTCATATATTGAATACGTTTGCAGTACAGTAAAAATTTATATCAAGATCTAGAAAAGAAGAATCCTCATGCAGTCATCCAGCAGAAACATGCCTTAGTTTTATATAACAAGATCACAAGGTCCAACTACATCTATGTCCTTGACATTTTGGAAAACAAATTCTTTGTGGAGGTTGAAAACAGGTGTTTAGTTCTTCTCAATTGCACCAACATAACAGTGCTTGCGCATCAGACCAGGAATTTTTATCTCTAAATACTTCAAGTTTTTTGGCAAGTGTTCCTTCCCTGCTACTTTGGTTTATTCGATTAATTTCAAACATTGTTGAGAAATGTTCACAATGCTTGACAACCATCCAACCTCAGCAGCAAACCAAACAGCTATAACTACCCATCCATTAAGCCCCAAAATAGAATAAAAACCAATGAAATTCCTGAAGTTTGAAATCTGCTTTGAAGGACTTAGAGCAATCATAACCAGCAAAACAAAAGTAGTAATAAATAAATCCTCTGTAAAACTTCCTGGTTAATTAAGGGATTATAAGCAATCATGACATTTAGACAAATAAAATGAGGAAGGAAAAGTTGAGTTCTAGCAGCTCACCCTCCTGCTCTCACAAGCTTGGTAACTTGGCTCCCAGCCCACACCATTGCCATCACTTTGATAAATCTACAACACATTAAGTTTCCATGCTATTTTATAGTCTCATTAATATTTAGAAAGATAAGTATTTTTACCTTTCAGCAGCAGCAAAATAACCCATTTTTCCAGGTGCAGGAGCAACATAAAACCTAGTGAGCAAGTGAAGTAAGCTTAAATTTCCAAGACTAAAGGATATACGCCCAACAAGCTAGAGAATTGGATTTTAGCAATCATTTTAAATGCACCACAAGGCAACACTCATACAGTCCACAAACAAGATTGCTTTGAATTTGCCTTCAAATTCAAAGATAAAAAACTCAAATAAGTCACCCAAACTTAGTTATACCAACAACTTGAATTATCATACTGGCACTTCATCCAACTTTCAGACACTCTATCTCTCTCACCAAGAAGATCCAATAAGGCAAGACCCCTAAAAGTAAACTTCTTGTCCTCATACTTGGGGCAAGCCATAGCTGGATTCTTTCATCAAACATTCATTTACCAGACTCATTTGCAGAATGATGATGTTTCATGACCTGGAAATGTCACTACTCAAAAGCCTAGGAATAGAGAAACATACACTAGAATAAAAGCAGATATGAATCTTCAGTCACAAATTTCAAATCAACAGCTTGTCAATGAGCATTGAAGATGTGCTAAATGATGCAACTGACTGGCTGTCAGTGCAAACCACAACACCAAACAGCACAAATCTCGCAAGTTTATTGCACTCTGGGGTTTTATTTGCGTCAAAAGAAACATAGACCAAGTGATTTTTTTAGAAAGTTATTTCACTTACCACACCAAGAGAAATGTCGTCAGGTAGTAGGCAGTATTCAAAAGTCCATATGATAATATTCCTGAAATTCCGTATCTCTTTAGCTTCTTCAACACACTGATGACAAGTACAACAAGCAAGAATGAGACTAAATCAGTACACATACAATTCAACCCCATTTACAAGGGCATTTCTAAAAAGTCACCTAATTCATTACTTTAAATGAGTTATTTGTGCATTTCTAACTTACAGTGCTTTCTCTCCAATTACAAGGGCAGCAAAATATTTGTGCATTGCTAACTTACATTGCTTTCTCTCCATTTACAAGGGCAGCAAAATCACACCATTCAGACAATACTCATTTTATTAAAAGTCACTTAACTCATTAATTTAAACGATATAAGTAGTTTCTGTGTATCAATTAAAGTTCTTCCGCATAAATTTTTATCTAATTCATTACAAAAATAAAGAAAAAAAATCTGTCTGCACATTCATATGCATTTTTTCACGAGGGTAAGCTGGATGGAAGAAAGAAACAGCATTGCCATCATCATGCCATTAATGAACAAAAGAATATGAACACAATGAATAAGAAAGTACTCATTAGACGTTGGCGATCCTCGAATACCACTAGTTTGGTTCTTTTCCATTGAACCTACAGAAAAAGGAAGGAAGAAAACATAGTAAGTTAGTTGGCATCAAATAAATGTAGGCAGTAACACAATACATTCATCATAGTTTCTAAGCAAATACTGTTGAAAGAACAATATATTATCATACCTTCATGGTTAGGATTATTGTTGTAAGAATCTGACAAAACCGAAGCCTAGCCTTAGACAACCAAAGACAAAAACAAAAGCATAACTACGTAATCATGTTTTTAAACAAACCTTAATCACTTTTAAGAATTAGTAATTGTTAGAATCTCTCTGATACTCACATTGTTGTCGCCAGTAACTGAGCAGAGACGTCGAAAATGAGACAGGTTTAAGGAGGGATTCTTTGGTTTCTGTATGTGAAACCGAGTGGAAACCCTAGAAGTGTAGATGCAGGGAAGCTCATGGAAACACTGTTGAGCAAATTAGAAAGAAAAAACCTTAGCGGTGAGTGAATTACTTGACCAAAAGAAGAAGAAGAAGAAGAAATTAAGGAAGAATGGAAGGTTGATAAACAATAGGAAAACAAAAAGAAAAGAATTACCAGGTGATGCAACAGGGGTTTTAGTGAGAGAGACATGACTGAGGAGGCTAGGAGAAGGAAAACCCAGCGTTTCAGCCAGATGCAGCGTCCATTTTAGGCAGCTCTATCTACAGCCAGCATTTCCTTTCTTTTTCTTCAAATTATTAATCTGAATTCAACAAAGCAAATAAAATCAGTACTGTTTTCTTTTAACTTTTACCATTTTCGAGTAAATTGTTAATTAATCTCTTTCGTTCTGAGTTATTATTTCAAAAATTAATTTTTTAATTTTTAATTTTTCTTATAATTTAATTTAAATTTTTAATTTTTCTAATAATTTAATTTTTTATTTTAAAAAATAAAGAAAAATATGTGATGATTAATGTGAAAAAATATTTTTTAAAAAATAAAATAATATTAAATTAAAAGTAATTCGTGATTAAATAATTATTTTTTGAAATAAGGAAAAACTGATTAATTTATTTTTAAACTAAAAGAATTAATTTATAATAATTTAGTTCCATTTTTCAAGAATCAAGCTCTAACCCATCAAATCCGATCCAATTGCCATATCATGGTTAAACCAGTTGCTGCGTGTAGCCCATGATAATGTCCAAGACCGACTCGGTAACGGCCCATTGGCCGATGCCTCCGTATTTCGTATGGGTCTCCACGTGGACAAACTTTGTACTCAAATAAGGCCCTTTTAGTATTTTGTGCTCATAAAACATTAAAGGAGTATATGAGAATGAATTGAAGGCATGCAGTTTAGGAAGGAAAAAAAAAAAAAACGTTTCTCCTCAAATTAACATTAGGAATTGGAAAAGAAAATCACCATTAGTTAAATTTAATAATTTATAGTTTGTTAATTTAATGTGCAATTAATTTACCTTATTAGCCACATGACCAATATCGAGGTCGGCTTTATAATATATGTGGTCCTAGACAAAATAATATTTTAGAGACTCTTTCATAAAATAAATGGGTATTAAACATTATTTAAATTTTATTTTTCTTGCTTTCCGAGATGCAAGATCTCTAATTAAATTTTTGTATTCAAGTTTACAAAGAAAATCTTTTTCAATTGATAATATAGCCAAATTACTTAATCTTTCTTGTAACATAGTTGCACGTAAATAAGATTTTATTAATTTTAATTTTGAAAAACTTCTTTCAGCTAAAGTTATAATAACATGATAGTTAATAGTATTCTATATGCTATCCATGCATTTGCAAAAAGAATTTAACTTTTTTTATAAATTTTAGTATGTGAAGTGGTGTTTTTATTTTCATGGTTATAATTTCTTTTAAAGCTTTTAATTTTGAAAATAAATGTAAATCAACAATATCATAAAGCATATCATGTTTTAGAAATTTTTCAAGATTTAAACAATTTTTTTTCAAAATATCATCATCAAGTGATTTTAATTTTTCTACACTATAAATAAACCAAAATTATCTTCATATATTTTAAATTATTCAAACCTATTTTAAAGAGAGGAAATCGCATGATCAACTAAATATATAAAATAATTAATTCTAAAATATTCTTCAATAGATAATTTCATATCTTCATTTTCAATCTCATCAAATTGTTTATTTCTTCTTATTGTACGCTTTTCACGAAATTTTGGTTCTATATTCATTTGTTCCGCAATTTCCTTAACCAAGATCATAGAAGATGTAAACTCGTTTTCTCTATAGCTTTTAAAAAAAGAAATAAGACCTTTCAAGTGGTCTATTGCAAGAGCAATATCCATATATTTAGATTGTAAATATTTACTAACCGTATTAATATCAAACAACATATCATACCAAATAATCATGCCCGATAGAAATTCAAAATTTTCAATCTCATATGTTGCTAAAGAAATAGCTTCAGCTTTTGTTTTAGGATCTTCACAGCTTCTGCTAATTGATATAAAGCATCTCTTATTTGTTGAGCTTGAAATCTAATTACTTTAACACTTTCAATACGACTTTCCCAACGTGTTTGTGAAATGCCTTAAGTGTCAAATTAGAAACATGATCTTGTAAAATTTTTCATCTTTTTGTAGAAAAAGAAAATAATGAATATATGCGTTGTGTCACTCTAAAAAAATGTCATAGCACTAGCACATGAATTAGTCATATCACAAAGAACTAAATTAAGATTGTGACGACCACATGGTGTATAAAATGCTTTAAAATTTGTATCTAATAATCTTTTTTGTACACCTTGATGTTTACCTTTCATATTAGACCCATTATCATATCCTTGCCCTCTCACGTTATTTATGTCAAGTTCAAGAGTTTTTATCTTACTTGTCGGTTCATTAAAAAGATATTCATCGGAGGTATCATCCACTTTTAAAAAATCTATAAAATACTTGTTCTCTTTTTATTGAAATTGTCGAAATATCTACACATCTTAATATAAGAGACATATGTTCTTGATGACTTGCATCTAGAGTACAATCAAGTATAACTGAAAAATATTTTGATTCTTTGATTTTTTTGATAACGGTATTTCTTATTTCTAATACTAAAATATTTATCAACTCATTTTGTATATTATGACCAAGATAATGCATATGAATATCTCCATTTTGAATACATCTAAGGTGTTCTTACATTATTGGATCAAACTCAAGCAATCATTTCAATTAAACTCAAAACAATTTTATTATTGTCCCGATAAATCTTCTCATTTGTATCACAAAATGCCAACTTATTTTTTGAAAGAGCTTTCACAACGAAGAATAGTTCTTAATAATACATTCCTCCGATGCTCTTTCTCTTTATTTATTGTCTATTGTAAATGCTTATCAATTGTTTTGTTTTTAAGCAATCTCATCCGAGCATCAACCCAAATGTTCATATTAATAGTATGTTCATTACTTGTCTCATGACTTTTAAGTTTGACACTAAGATTTTTCCAATCTTCACGCCCTTCATTTGCTAATTGAATATTTTATTTCAAACTAAATAATTTACAACAATAAAAAAACACTTTATCTAACTCTTTTGAATATACTAGCCATTTTCTATCATGTTTTTCTCCGTTAGGTAATTTTTGAATGTAATGAACTGTGGAAAAATGTCTAGAATTTTCATCTCTTGAAAAATCTAAAATTTCTCTAATTGGACATTTCTCAACTAATAAATCAATCAGTTTTGAGTCTAAATTTTTTCATTGTGCTCGAATCGTAAATATTTTTAATTGTTGTTGCATCTTCATCATTAATATTTTCACTTTTATTGATTGAAACATCATCTTCTAAATTTTCATCATATTCTTTATTACTTTTTGGTGAATTTGAATTGTTATCTTCACAATTTTTAACTATATTTTTTATTTAAATCTTTATCTTGTTCTTTTAGTATTTGAGGTTTAATATTAGTAACAAATCTATCAAGTGTATCTTTTTGGGATTGAATTAGTTCTTCTACCTTTCTTTTTTTCTTAGATTTTTCATATCCAGATTCATACTTTCCAAGTAGACATTTTATTCAAATAATAAAATTAAAATATAATTATAAAAATAGTAAGAAACTTTGGCACTCGATTATATTTGCTTGTCACACCTAATCAAGTAAACCCGGAGAGAATCACACGAAAAAATAAAAAAAATTGAGAAAAAAATAAAATATTAAATGATTTATGTACATAATTTTATTTGCATAAATTAAAAAATTACCTTTAGATTCTTCCGCCAAGCTAATTAGAAAAAGTTTTATAAGAGATCCCTAATTGTTTGGAGAAAGAAATGAATATAATAACAAAATTTAGAGATCTAAAAATTGTTTCACTAATAAATATTTTTCCGAAACTTTTCCGCAAGTAAAAGTGTCTTACTAAAATAAAAATTGAAATTTTTTATAAATAGAAGGTACCTAGAGAGACATCTAGAAAAAGGTAGAATTTTTAACGTTGAAATAATAATATCTCCGAACAATGGGAGCCTTTCAATACAGGAACTCTAGTACCTATGACTCGTTGATGGAGAGAAAAATGGTGTCTCATACTTAGGTGGAGGCTGCACCTTTTAATTTATCTCATTCTTTATGCGTACGGACTTAAAGTAAAATTTTAATTGGGGGCCCCCTTTCTATGAAGGCCCTAGGCATAGGCCTAAATGGCCTATGCCTTGAGTCGACATCGACCAATATTTGTCAAATTTAATTTTAGAATGTTTTAACTTTTATTCAAATTAGTGAAAAATTAAAATGAATTTTATAAGTGGACTCGCAACAATACGTGAATCATTTTGCTAATTACAAAAAATCCTAAAAGAGATGAGTTTTTACTATTCTTAGATTATTCACACACTTACATAATATTATTCAATTGATGGTATTTTTGTGATTTTAAATTAATGATATTTTTTTAAACCGTTTTCGGGCATTTATTCCACCCGGAATGATTTTTTAGTAATTTTGAGGTTTTTTCAAAATGTTTTATACATAAAGTTTTGCTTGTGCTTTTCTTTCGTCTCTTATTTTTTTCAACAACTTTATTTTGATATGCAAATTCATTTGTATTGTAATCTAATCCCTATCCGCTAATAATAGAAAGAATGAAGGAGAGACAGATTTATGTATGGATTTTTTAGAAAAGATTTATGTATGTATGGATTTTCAGAATATTATTATTTGCAATTTTAGAAAAAAAATGATATAATTTATATAACAAATTCTTTTTATTTTTAAATGATAGTAGCATGGTTAAATATATATATCTTAATGAATTTTTAGAATATGATTATTTGCTCCTGAATTTTTTTAATATAGTTCATACAATGAATTCTTTGAATTTTTAAATGAGAGAATCATCAATTTTTTTTAAATAATTTATAATATATACATAAATTTAATCTAATTTTGAGCAAAACGCATCAAGATTTTGTTTTAAAGGTTTTTTTTAGCTGTGTTTGAAAATAAAAAAAAAAACCTTATTTTTAAATTTTTAATTTTTGGTTCAAAACTATTTGTTTATCTTTTAATTGGTTGTTTTGGGCAAAACTCTTTAAAAAATTAGTGTTTTTAAAGTCTTTCAAGTTGTTAATTTGAAACTTCCAAAAAAAAATCAGAAAAATTAATTTTTTAATGCTGATTTTTTTTTTAGAGAAAATTGATTGCTTATGTTTAATTTGTTGTTTCAATCAAAACCCATTAAAAAAAAAAAAAAGAGAGAGAGAGAGAACTGCAAACGAACAGTATTTCCTGCGTCATTCAAGCAATTCACTTGCTTGAATTGACCGACAAGAGAGCAGAACAGAAGAAAATGTCATTGCTCCAAATTGGTGGCGAAACTTCAAATACAAATTAATTGACCTAAACATTAATTGATGAAAGAGATAGATCTATATTCGGAGCGGTATTAGAATGGGATCGAACTGCAGCAATAGCTGACATCACGAAACAATACTCAAAGGCCCTACAATCCAGAGGGATATTGGAGATGACCTTGGTTCTCTAGCCTAGGAAAGCTTGAAAGGCTCTTTCGGATTCAAAATAACATTAGAGGCATGAAAATCAGTTGCTGAAATGCATGGAAGCAACAACGTATGTGTTGCAGGTAGTCATTCTTCGGAGTTGGTGATTTTGTAGGTTAACTGGTGTAGTCTACTAGTTTCTTAAAAAGTTTTTGTATAGTAAGGACTGAGGAGCAGTTGTTGAATCTCTGTTGATGCATGTTTTTGAATTCTTAAATGCTCATGTTAGTTTATTACAAAATCTATTGAATCATAAATGAAAGGCATGAAACTCTAAAATTTTCTCCTCTCTTCTTATTTGAAGCACAGAACTAAAAATATATAGTATTTTAGTATTTTTCAATAACTATATTTTATGTTCTATCATCTAGTTGTTGGGTTATATAAATTCTTTTTATTTGTCTAGATGAAGCTAATATTTATTAGGTGAAGACGAAATTAAAATACAGAGAATACAAAGTGTTTTTTTGAAATGCTTTTTAAAATGCCCTGTGGCCATTATAAGGAAACAATGACAAACTTTTAATAATTTAAACGTTTTTTTATCCAAAATTTTAACACTATAAACGAAATTATCATACATAATATTTTCTAAAACAAATATTAAAATCATAAAGTATAATTTTAGAAAAATAAAAATACGAAGTGTTACCGCTATCTAATGATAGAATGTTTTTCGTACTGATTAATTGAATACATTAAAGCAATATTGCGTCTTTTCGGGAAAAAAAACCTTAGTTATGCTTTTCGTTTAGTCAACAAAGCGACTTACTTTGCCACGTCTAATAGGTTAATGACCTAATTTTGTTTTATACAGGATGTGTCCAACACCTAAGTGGTGTAGCTATAGGCTTTCTACATCATGGATAAGAGGAATGCTGGCATACGAGACTTCCTTGAAAGCGCACCTTCCTAAGGACATTAATTGTACAGCATGAAAAGACCGATTTGACTGCTTTCTTGTGGTCAAAATGATTGGACTGAGTAAATTCTATTCAGGAAAAGAAAAAATATATATTAAAAAAAATTGGGCTCTTTTTGTTGGAGAGGAAATAAACTACCTTGGTTTACTGAAACAAAATTTAGGTGTATTTATGTAATTATTTTTTTTATAAAAAATATTCATACATTAAAATTTTAATCCAAAGTTATGTTTTTTTCAAGTTATTAAAAAAATACTAAAGGGCCCGGAAATCAACTAAATTCATAAATATCAAAGACTGGTTATAAATATGAATTCCAAAACAAGAGTTATCATGAATAAATATGTCAAAATTAAATTAATTTTCAACTATGGTTTAAAATTTTCTAATATATCTCTATAGATTTTAAAAAGTTTCAATTTTTTCCTTAGCTACTAACAAACTAACAAAAAGCTTACTTTTTTATATTTTTATTTTATTTCTCTTTTCTTTCATCTTAATTCTCAAGTCCAATCTCAAAAAAAAAAAAAATCTCAAGTCCATATATATATTTAAAAAAAAAATCAAGAACCTACACAAATTTAAAAAGTAAGTAATTTAGACGATTAAGGGAAAAAAAGAGTAGGGGATAAATGATTAGGGGTAACATTGAAACGGTTTTAAAAATAAAAGAAAAATGTTACAAATTTATAAACTATAGGGATAAAAGTTGAACAATGATGAATAAAGAAGGGCAAAATTGAAATTTGACGTCAAATAAAAAATAAAAACCTACATCGTAAGCCCGGCCCAATAAGTAGCCTCCCGTGAGTCCACCCATCTATCAATAAAACCACAAGCGAGAGCTGACAATAAAGAAAAAGCAGCAGGCTGCAGCAGGGACTCCTCTCTTTTCCCCTTGCGTTCCTGTCTTCGCCATCGCCACTGCTTAGCCGCTCTCTCAAAAACCCTAATTCTTCTCAATTTTCAGAATCCAAAAAAAACCATCATCTGCGCAACAATATTTCTTCTTGAGAAAGAGAGACCTCTTTTCGAGCTCTCTCTCTCTCTACTAGAGAAATAAACACCTCAATCACAGGTAACAGCTTCTGCTTTACATTTTATTATCTGCTTATTATTTTTGTTCTGATTGCTCACGTTTTCTTGTTTTTAGAAATCTTTTTGTGGTTATAAGTGATCGATGTTTTGATCGTTTTTATCTCGCCTGATTTCATGTAAAGTCTCGTTCTTGTGGTTATTTTTCCAATAATCTTGGTTTTTTTTAAAAAATATTATTTGGTTGATTTTAGCTGTTTTTTCTTTTGGTATTCAAGGGGGGATTAATTAATAAACTTATTATTTCTTTTTCTTTTTCTTTTACTCTATGATTTATGTATCTAAACCTAGTTAATGTTGAGGGTTAAAAGATTGTTTGTGCTGAATAACGTTAAAGAAGTTACAAATGACCTTGATGTTAACTTATTTTGATTAACTAAGGTCTTGTGTTTAAGGTTGGTAGTAATGCTGAGAAGGGGTTGATTAAGCTATCAGTTTTATTTAATTTAATGTTGGCTGAAATAGCCGAGTTTGAAAACATAGGGCCATGTGTTTCGATCTTAATATTGAACTCATTGAAGGCATGTACAAGGATAAATGTCTGGTGAGCTTCCTGTAATAAATCCAAAATCCACCAGTGTCGTTGGGGTGATGACTGTTTTCCCTCTTTCTTTTTTTTTTTTTTTGGGTTATTGAGAAGGAGTTGGTGAGTGCTGTAATTGTTCTTAGAGAAGTTGCATATGCTTGTATAGGACAGTGGTGCCTTTTTTTCTTTTTGGGAATATGGTAATCCTATCGGTAGAATTCATGCAGAGTTGGATGAGTGCTCTAATTGTTCTTGAGAAGTTGTATAAACTTGCATTGGAAAAATTTAAATAATTGGGCATGCTGTCGATTCTCTGTCTGCTGTGTGTGTATTTTCTTAATAATCATTGTTAACTTCTCAAAAAAAATTAATTTTTAATGAAAAATAAATATTGCATGTTTTCTTTATTATGGCATATTTGTGCAATTGGAAAGTGCATGGGGTGCATAAATAGTTCTGTAAAATCTAGAACAAGGCTAGATTGGGCTAGTTTTCTGGTCTCTGGTTTATTGGAGATGTGATTGCTAGAGTTTTTGCTGCTAGCGTGACTAATTCTACCTCTCTTTGTGCCTGAAGTATCTTCATGTTTGTGGCTGGGCATCAGAAATTGCGCCTTTTCTATAGTCATCTTATGTAGTGTTGGAGTTATTAAATTTTTGTCCCAATGTAACTTAGAGCTTGATGTTTCTGAGATGGGTGTTTCAATATTTATAAAAGCATGTTCAATTGTGCAAAGTGGCTTTCAACTGTCCGTGTATGTTTTATTGTTTTGCGCTGGCTCATACTGCTCAATGTACGTGTCAACTGGCATGTTTTGTGTTAACTGCCCCTGTACTTGTTGACCAAGTCATATGACTTGGATCATCACTAAAAAGATTCTGTTTTTTTTGCTACCTACTAACCTATGTAATTTCTTCTGCATGAATTTTATTAATTGAAGCTTTTTGCTGGTGCAGCTTGAAGATAGTTACAACACGATTGTTGAACTGGGTATTGAACTGAGGTGAATATTGGAGATTGATATTGGTGTATGCATTTTTTGTTTCTACAACCTTCATAAAGCCATGGCCACCCAAACTAGTTTTCGGCTTATTTCTTACTCACAAGAGCTTGTAGATGGACATCCGTTGCATGTTTCTTCAAACTGCCTTCCAATCAAAGCTTCAAAAAATGAACCAGCTGGCCATGCTTTTCACTCTGCTGCTTTAAAACTCCTTGGTTGGGAGGAGGAAGTTGCAGAGACTGAAGATCAGAAAGTGTCCAATGACAAAGAGCAAACACATATGCCATCATCTGAATCCTATAGCACCAAAGGTAAAAAGAAGTCTGGATCTGGAGATAAGCAACAGGATCACTATGCCTTGTTGGGTTTAGGCCATTTGAGATATCTTGCCACAGAAGAACAGATACGGAAAAGCTATCGTGAGGTTGCTTTGAAGTATCACCCAGACAAACAGGCTTCCATTCTTCTTGCTGAGGAAACTGAGGCTGCAAAACAAGCAAAAAAGGATGAAATCGAGAGCCACTTCAAAGCCATCCAAGAAGCATATGAAGCTTTGATTGATCCTGTGAAGAGAAGGATATACGACTCTACAGATGAGTTTGATGATGAAATTCCCACTGACTGTGCTCCTCAAGACTTCTTTAAGGTGTTTGGTCCTGCTTTTATGAGGAACGGGCGGTGGTCAGTTAGCCAACCAATCCCATCTTTAGGTGATGAGAAAACTTCTTTAAAAGAAGTAGATAGCTTTTATAACTTTTGGTACGGCTTTAAAAGCTGGAGAGAGTTTCCTCATGCGGATGAATTTGATATTGAGCAAGCTGAGTCTCGTGATCATAAGAGATGGATGGAGAGGCAAAATGCAAAGCTTTCAGAAAAGGCTAGAAAGGAAGACTATGCCCGGATACGTACTCTCGTTGACAGCGCCTATAAAAGAGACCCAAGAATATTGCGGAGAAAGGAGGAGGAGAAAGCTGAGAAGCAAAGAAAGAAGGAAGCTAAGTTTTTGGCAAAAAGGCTGCAAGAAGAAGAAGCAACAAGGGCTGCTGAAGAGGAGAAACGCCGAAAAGAAGAAGAGGGAAAACGTGCTGCTGAAGCTGCTTTACAGCAGAAGAAGTTAAAGGAGAAAGAGAAGAAGCTTCTGCGTAAAGAACGGAGTCGCCTTCGAACTCTTTCAGCACCTGTTCTGTCACAGTGTTTGCTTAGTCTTGGTGAGGCTGATGTGGAGAATCTTTGTATGTCACTGGATATTGAGCAGCTTAGGAGTTTATGTGACAGGATGGAAGGCAAAGAAGTGCTAGAGCAAGCAAAAGTACTGCGACATGCATGTGGATATGATCAAGATTCTGGGAGCAGTAAACAGGATGAGAAAAAGATTTCGCAGCAGAATGGCTCTCTCTCTTTGAACTCCAATGGAAGGGCCCCACTAAGCGGCTCCGGAAAGAAGGAGAAACCTTGGGGCCGAGAAGAAATTGAGCTTCTTAGAAAAGGAATTCAGAAATATCCTAAAGGAACATCTCGGAGGTGGGAGATTATTTCAGAGTACATTGGTACAGGAAGATCCGTTGAAGAAATTCTGAAAGCAACCAAAACTGTCCTCCTTCAGAAGCCTGATTCAGCTAAAGCTTTTGATTCTTTTCTTGAGAAGAGGAAACCTGCACAATCCATTGCATCTCCTCTTACAACTAGAGAGGAAATAGAAGGGACATCAATTGTTCAGGCGCCTGAAAGTAGTGTTGCAAAGATTGCTCAAGAAGATTCTTCAAGAGACACAGACAAGCAGAAAACTGATGATGTGGTTACTGCAAATGGAGCTTCAATTGCAGACCAAGACGTGTGGTCTGCAGTGCAAGAACGAGCACTGGTTCAGGCTCTAAAAACCTTCCCCAAAGAAACTGGTCAACGCTGGGAGCGTGTTGCTGCAGCTGTTCCTGGGAAAACTGTAAACCAGTGCAAGAAAAAATTTGCTCTGCTGAAGGAGAACTTTCGAAACAAAAAAAGTACGGCTTAGTTTGTTGTTTGATGCGGCTCTGAGGTTGTAAAAAAATTGCAGATGTGCGTGAGGAGGTATTAGCCTTTAAGATCCCATTCTTTCTCTCCCTAGATAAAGATTCAGTGAAGCTACATATGACAAGAGAACAATTTCTTTCCCCAGTTTTGACGGCTTGGCTTTTGCCATCATGCCACACAGGTTTCATTTGACCTTTTAAGAGGGGGGCCATTAGATGGAAATTTTTGTGTATTGATTTTTAGTTGAAGATGCTTCCTGTTTAGAGAAATATATCATGTACTACTTTTAAGATCATGTCTTATTTTACAGAATTTTAGTTACATTACACTGTATCGGCAGTACAAGAACATCTGTATTAAAAATTAGAAGAGCATTTGAAGTTAATGGATTTTGTTATGAGGTCATTTCCCAGTAGGGTTGAAAGTCTTGCTGTTCAACCACAATGATTGCCACTGATAGGTAACCCAATTTTTTCTCTGAGAAAAGAAAGGGGTGGGTTTTTATCTGGGTGGGTTGGTCTACATGTTTTGGTAATGTTTTTGTAAAATTGCTTGAGTTTTAAAAACATTAATTTGATATATATATATATTGAAAAAGCATTTTCAAATGCAATCCAAATACAACACAATTATTTGGAGGTATCTTAAAACTAACCCCTTTGTAGAGGGTCATCCTGTTGTCCAATTATTTGCTGGATCCTCCCCTTTTTTTCGTTGTTTTTTCGAACATGGTTGTTTCTCACCTCTTCCAGCTTGTGCTGAGCAACAGTTGCACCATTCCATGTATCACCCTTTTAACAGGCATACTACAATTTTTATTTTTTCCTGATATTTAAAGCTCATCATCGTTGCTTGAAGATGTAAGAAATGTCAGACAATCGAAGTAATTGAAGAGAAATGTCAAAGATGCTGGGGCTTGAACCATAAACTCATTTCTGGACCCAGGGATTGTTTGCTGTGAAACTTCCCTTTTTATCTTACTATCTTTCACTAAATTTTGTCTATGCTGCTGCGCTTAGATGGCATTTCATCTGTTTGTCCTTGCCTTTCATGACACATTTACACAATGGCATCATGCTCGAAGTGCAGAACATATAATTTGAATACACTGCAATATTTACTTTATGATCAAACTGTCCAAACACCGAGATGCTGCAAATCGCACCTCAATAATCAAGATTCAACCTTATGCTTGGCAGAAGTACAGTGAAACAATCCGTTAATTGGTTGGATAGTTAGTGAATTCTCAGTTCAATGTAATAAGTGAAGATAGGAAGATCCCAAAGATAGTCCACCAAGATAACGAAATCAAAGGATATTTATTCAGTTAAGACACATTTAGGAATCCCCTATAAGCAAAAAAGAAACATGAAGACATGGAGGGAAACTGCAAAAAAAGTATGACAAAACTTTGAACTATTAAACTAATAATAGTTAAAAAGATCACAAGGATGCGGAGAATCTTAAGCATGGTTGATCGAACAGAATAAAGCTTGTCTAGTGTCTACCCTAGCAATGTCCGGACAACCGGACAAATAGTCAGTGAACTTTCTCCCTGCATTTGAATCCGTGGGAAGGGTGAGGAAAATAAATTTTTTATGAATATATCCTTCGAACTTTGTATAATCCATCTAACATGTTATCAAAAAACAACCTAATCAAACTGTCCGAAAGCTAACTCAAGAGCATCTTACTTTCAAAATTAAATAAAAGAGTAACGAATGAAGGTTGTGTCACTACACGATTTTTACCTTCCAAGATTGGTTAACTTATGTTTTTAGAATGATTTTTTTAGTTGAATATTTAATTTAGCTTAGGTTTTATTTATTTCTTTATTCAATTTTGAAATACATCTTATGTTTTTAAACCATCACACCATAAAATCGATGACATGAACTATTTTTTATTAAAAATAATTTGTATTATTTAAATTGAAATTTTTAAAAATTTAAAATATATCTTAATTTAACAGAAAATTCAAGATGTTTTTGAATTATTTAGCATTTATTTTTTTCAAGTGTTTTTTTTTTTGGTACTTTCGAGTACCATCTTTAATATATATAAACTTTTTTTTTTTTGACAATCATAACGTTGTTATTATTTATTTCGTTTTTTCAAAAAATTTATTCCCCTCACTCTTGATAATTGTTATTGATAATATGAATTTTTTTATATATATAATTATTAGGTATGTTAGGAATTGTATTGGCCATCTTATAAAAATATAAAACTTATTATGAAAATTATTGATGAATACAATTTTTATATCTGAAAAAAATACAGTTCTCTAAATAAATTTTCATTGTTTTTCTTAGCCTAAGGATTGATTCATCGATTTCATGAAAGATAGAACATCTTACTGTTCTATCGAGAGTAACGTCTTTGTTTCTGAATTAATGCAGAAAACTCAACCCTAACAAATCAGCAAGCTTGGAAGGTAAATATCAGAAAAGCAACCAGAAGAAATATTAAAAAGAATAATTCCCTGACTTGTTTTCTCTAACGATCATATATCAGTAAGATTCTTAATGTAGTAAATGAATAACATGAACTCGTTTCACTTAGCTAAATATTTTGACAAAACCTATTATTTGCACAATGTGTTTTCATTAATTCGCCAAAAAAAAAAAAAAAAAACACTCCTATATTATCAATTTTGTTGATCAAGCATGTGTTTTTTTTTCGATTTCAGCCAATTAAGTATAATTTTTTTAAATTTAAATTTTATTTCCACCAATTAAGCACTCTTCTTCGCTACATGATTCATTACTGTTAACTTTTCTTTCATTCATTACTCATCCCGTCTTTTTTATTAAGTAGTTCATTTTTCACTCGGGCAAATGGTACTCAATTAACTAAAATCACAAATACAGATGTTTAATTGATCGAATTGATAATAAGTTTAGCCAAATATTTTACTACAGAGTGTGGAAAGCAACTTCTGTCAAGTGCAGATTCTAGATAATGAGTACAAATGAACGTTTAAACCGGAATCTGATTACAGTATCAAAAAGTTGCCAATTCCCGTTGCTTGATATTGGTAAGACAGTTACTATGGACAGCCAACAAAGTTAAAACTGCTGAAACAGCTTTACATAAGCTGTGCCTTGAATTTCCATTATCGTGTCTGGCTGGTCCATTGCAATGTCTCAATCAGCTGAGTCTACGAAGAGAATAGTAAACAAAATGTTTGCCCTGAAAGACTGATTTCTTCAAGAATGAACTTTGTGATCGTCAAAAAGGTAGCATTTTCCTGGCCTGAGGCCAGACTGCCAAGCATAGGTATCATAACCAAGATTAGAAAAATAAACCTCCAGAACTATATTTCGATATCAGAGTATAAATGCTAAATAAATATAAAGGGGCTTGCTTGGAGTCACCACCCACCCTTTCCTTCCCTCTAGAATCTCCCTTTTAACTTATTGGTTCAGGAGTAGCATCACTGACAAAGATCTGGTTTATTGCAGGTTCTTGTTGTTTGTCCATCATTTTCTTACCTTTCCATTTCGTTTCCTCTTATCATATTTAACTGCGATTTGTTTCTGTGGTTCTTATCGATTAGATCATCACATACAGCCGCAGCTGAAAATAATACTCCTGCTGCTGGCGTGGTCCCTGGCCTTAACTGGCCAGATTGTGTATCCACTTTCCAGCACTCTTTAAAGAATTTAGGAAGCTCAAAACTCGCATCATCAAGTATTCCAACCCATGCTTTGCATAAAACAAAATCCTAGGACTAACATAGATCGATTGACACAGTAATAAATCTAAGTAAAACCAAGATAGTTCAACACAGATTGTGTTCCGTTGTAAATATTTACCTTTTTTCTTTATGAATCAGCCTTTTTATTAGGGAGAAAAGCAAGCAGAATTACTGAATAGCTGCTGCTGCAAAGCGTATCTTTGTTATGCTGTTAAGGGAGTAAGGGACCATTATCTTACTGAATGTTCAATTAAGATATCCAACAAGATAAATTATGTCTGAAGACGTTCAGAGAGTAGTGGTGATCCAAGATGCAACGCGGGAGGTTAGTCCGATCGCAATCAGATGCGTCCTGAAAGGATTTTCACTTAAGCCTGGAGATGCAATTATACTCTTTGGAGTTCTTCACCAGGTTAATAATCCTAGTACGTTATCTTTCACTGAAGGTGAAACCTGCTTAATAATTTCTGTCTTTTCTTTTCGTTCCTAAATGGGTTGCTGGAAGCATTATCAGAGTAAGCATTTTGCTTTTACTAATCCTAGAAGCAGCACACCAGCACTTGTATAATTCTCTTTACTAATTAATTTTCCTCCCTTTCCTTTTCTTCTGTATTTTTTGGTTATCCAGTGGGATACAAGGTCAAGGTGGACTCAAAATCAATGTTTGCGTTAAACCCAAAACTCATTGCAGAAGAAGTCTCCAAAAAGGCAGAAGAGTACAATAGCAACGTGGAAATTATGGAAATCGCTAAGCAGTGTAAAATGGAACAGGTACTTGTTTTCTATTTGCTTTTCCTGTTTCTTTAGTAATAAGGCAAGTTAGTTAATTTTGGTAGAATTTGCCGAGGAAAGGAAAAGGAAGTGATCCATGGAAATGAAGAATTGACAATATAGAACAGTTTTATCTTTCTAAGAAAGTTGACATCCAATCTAATTATCTAGATATGCCAAGCTTCAGATTCTAGTTGTTTTGATCTCCAGGAATTCTATAAATCTTTCTCTACCTCTGCCTAACCCTTAAGTTACATAGTTGAAATTAAGTTTCAAAAAAAAAAAAAAAAAAACCTTAAGTTTTATGGTGGATAACCCTTTCTCAATTTTATATGTTACGAATCAAGTGTTTCTTTATTTAATATTGTGGAATGAGTATTCTCACATTCTTCCATAAAAAAAAACCCTAGAGTTTTGATCTCTAGTAACTTTATAAAATGTTTTTTTTTTAAGATCTGAAATTGTGTATTATTAAATTTTTTTTTAGATTATTTTTTTATAAAATATTTATAATATCCAATGAGTATTAAAATATTTATAATATAAATTATAATATTATAAAAATATCATTTTTTATAAAATGTTTATAATATTTTATAAAAAAGTTAAAAAAAAATCAAAATTAGGGAGGTTAAAAATATTTATAAAATGAAGAAATTTTTTTATATAATTTATAAGAAATTTTTTTTAAAAAAAGTTCAAGATTGGGGGGTGGGGTAAAAATTTTTTAAAATATATTTTTTTAAAAAAACATAATTAATAGCAAAATGTGAAACTGACATCATTTTGACATTTTAAATAATAATCAACCCGAGTTGACCCCATATAACGACAATTAGGGTAATTTGATCAATTTTGTCCAAAAACTAATAGTTTGGGGTTCAAATTACCCAATTTAGTATTAAAGGTCTGAAATTATCAAAACACAATAGAATAAAAGTAAAATTTATCATTAAACTATTATTTATTGTGAAATGGGTTTTCTAACATTATTTTGTACTTGTAATCTATTTTTTGAGATTTGTCAACTATCTTAAGCAATGATTGAGTGTTAAAAAATTTATTTTACGTTAAATAAATAAATAATTCACGAGTAATATAAAGTTGAGAAAAGATCGGTTTAAGTGAGCGATTACAATAGAGGATTATCCCACGTACACTTATAGGCTTAATAAGTATTTTGATGGAACCAATTTCAACTATGTAACTTAAACTTTGGATATCCTATGATAAGGTTCATTGTAGGACCAGTTCTAACATAATATTTTACCTCTGTTGCTCGTGTGCCTGATGATCCTTTATGACTTGAAATTCTGCAGATTGAGTTCCGTGTAGAAGTCCGTGCTGGATCTACTCCAAAGGAGCTTGCTCTGAAAGCTGCTAAAAATTTCAGGGCAACATGGGTGATACTTGACAGGTCAGTCACAATTTCAAGTCCCTAATCCTGTAGGGTATTGTGCTTTCAGTTAAATGGAAAAGCACATCCAACATGAAAACCGCCTCAATGCATTATTTTTTGAAGCTAAGAATAAATTATACATGATTATTTTCATCCATGTGAGGAATCTGGATAACACTTTATAAAAGAAATGCATGAAAGCGTGAAAAACTCAGTTGTTATATCTGAAAGAAAAGATTTTAACAGAACCACACCAAACAAGTTCCAGGGTGCACATGCTCTAGTTAAGATATCGGAACTTGGTGACAGATCTTTAAGAAAAACTCAATCTTGTACTAAAAGTTTACAGCTAAGAAAGCAGGGATGGATTCAGACTAGAAAATCATTCTTCAATACAGCTAAGAAAGCTGCTTGTTGCTGGATCGTTACAAATTATTTGTCCTTACTGAGTGATTGCACTCTGACACTAAATTGCTTTCTGTCTCCAGAAATGCCCCGATAACACAAATGCTTCTCCATTCTGCTTAATGTCTGAGAGCTGTTGATGTCATGAAATGCTAACTAGCGCCAAGAACAGATTCTGTTCAATTCTAAAATGTAAACTCAACACTGTTGGCATTCAGGCCATCCAGAGATTGTGTGATACACTTCTGTGTTATCGCCAGCTAAACCAATTATCCATGCAATAGCCTTCTGGTAAAAGAGCAGAAGAATTCATGAAAACTAAGTCTTTATGTCTACAGGGGTGACATTACTCATGAGTTTCCAGAGTTTAAAATTCTTTTAGACACTGTTTGACTAGATAAATGTTTTGCATTATCATGCAGATGCATGGAAGTAAAGCTACTGATATAATGTTTTACAGTTTAAATCACACTGCAAGCATCAAAACATGGCCAGATTGAAATATCTGTTTTTGCTATTTAAAAGTCTTGTGCCTGAGAAGAAAAGATTTAAGGAATAAGAACTATTGGCTTAGGGCTTATAATTCATGTGCTATGCATTATATGCTGCAGGCAAATGAAGAAAGACAAGAAATACTTCATGGACAAGCTTCCATGTGCAATATCAAGGATGAAGCGTAACAACACCATTGAACAACTGAGAGGCCCAAAGAACCCAAAAGTTAAGAGCAAAAGTGGAGACAAATTACAAGCAGATGGAAAAGACAAGGGCAAAGAACAAGAGGAAGAAAAGGTACCATATGATGAAATGATACCAGGGAGCCCAAAGCGCAGAAGGTCTGCCCGCAGTAAGTATTTCATTGCCATCCCATTATAATCAAAATTTTGATAAATGAACTTTAATCAGAGTTTGCACAAAACCTTTATTGAAGTAAACAATATTATTCTCGATCCACACAAGGAAAGGCAATAGTAACACCAGCTCAATGGTTAGCATTTCAATCAATTTTAACATATGAAATGCCTGACTGACATTCTCCTACAGTCTCTGGACCCTTACAAATATAAGTGGCTATGGCCTTTTTCGAAGAGTATCAAACACTGCATAATGTCTATTCATCTGGTCCTCCAGAAAGTTATTGTCATAATTCTTCCCTGATTTCAGAAATATCTCCACATAAAATCACACTTGCTCGTAATCAAACTGGAGAAAGTGTTGCGTCGTTGCATGTATTTTTAAAAGTAGAGTTCAGCTTGTAAACACACGTCTTCATCGCACTTGTCATTTCCTACAAATAGAAAGCATTTAAACATAAGCCTGTGACGCTTCAGAACAAAAATGTCATCACAGTGTAGAAATCACTCACCAAAATCAATGGGGACGGAACTCATTCTCTAAATCCTCATCAGGTAGTCAGTTTGTGACGACGACCACAGCTTCTTCTTCGACTTCAGCTACTGGTTATCATGAAAATGACACTCTAAGTTCTACTTTTAAAACTGCAAAGCATGCCTACATGAATTTTCAAGAGGAAGAAAACACTACCAACGCAGAAAAAGAAACAGCAGGAAGACAATCCTCGGCTGCAAATACTTTGTCCGAACAGAGGGAAAAGGAGACAGCGACCCCAAATGAAGAACCAAAGCAACAAAAGAAAATTGATGATTGGATGGGAGGGAGTCCTACAGATGAGGTATTCAAAAATTCCATTTGCTCAGTTTGCAAGAATATGCGGCCAAAGATAGGATGGAAGAGAGACTTCAGTTATGCAGAGATCCATGCAGCAACAGAAGGATTTTACAAAACAAAATTCCTATCGGAAGGTGGGTTCGGCTCTGTCTACAGAGGCGACCTGGACGGGCTGGCGTTTGCCGTAAAGAAACTCAACAGTGCAAGTTTCCAAGGAGAGAAGGAATTCAAGTCTGAAGTTGAAGTACTCAGCAAAGTCAGACATGATAATTTGGTCATGCTGTTGGGATCTTGTTCTGAAGGAAAGGACAGGCTGCTTGTTTATGAATATGTGTGCAATGGCTCACTAGACCAACATTTATCAAGTAAGAATTCAGTGACCCTGAATTTAATTTTTCTATGCTTTGCAATACTATGGATACGTAGGGTATTTAGCATAATAAAAATAACAGAGATTGAAGCCTCATACACGAGTATTGTTTGCTAAATTGATGCAGAACATGCGCGCAATCCTCTCGCTTGGGAAAAGAGGATGAAGATAGCTTTGGGAGCTGCCAGGGGACTAAAATATCTGCATGAAAACAATATTATCCACAGAGATATGAGGCCAAACAACATTCTCATTACCCATGATCACGAAGCACTGGTAATAATATAAAACCGTGCAATTCTAAATTGATGCTTTATTTCTATCCATACATTGATCTACTGAAGTCGTCAGAAAAGAGAAACCAAGCCAGCTGATATGCCAAATAACCCATATTAAGAAACTGTTTCAACTTTTGAAACCTAGTTCTTTTGTCATTCTATAATGATTAAACTCGTTAACTTTATTCTCTGTTCATTAAGCCATTGCTTAACTTGGCTGAAGTTATTCGATCTTAATGAGTAATTAAAAAATTTCACCGCATCAGATTTCATCTAACATTTTCCTTGAATTAGCTTGGAGATTTCGGCCTCGCGAGAACTCAACATGAAGACTCAGAGCAATCCTTGGAGACAAGAGTTGTTGGAACTCTTGGATACTTGGCACCAGAATATGCAGAATGTGGGAAAGTGTCAACCAAGACAGATGTTTATTCTTTCGGGGTGGTGCTATTGCAGCTGATCACAGGACTAAAGACTACAGACAAGATACTAGGAGGGAAAAGTCTTGTAGGATGGGTAAATAGCGTCAAATGCTATATCCAACTTAAGCCATTGCGTCTCTGTTATTCCTTCTATCACTCGCACTCACAAGCATGAAAACTGGAAAGAAAGAGCGTTCTATTAGTTGTTCTTGCATATTTCGCGGCTTACTCATATCAGTTCAATTTTGCTTACAGGCAAGGCCACTACTGAAAGAAAGAAACTACCCAGATTTAGTTGACCAGAGGATCTTAGAGTCACACGATGTCCATCAACTCTTTTGGATGGTTCGAGTAGCAGAAAAATGTCTCAGCAGGGATCCCCAGAAGCGATTAACAATGGATAAGGTAACTTTTCGACTCAATAATCTGCAAAAGCAATGTTGCATATCATGGGATAAGGATCCCCCAAGTTCATCATAAGTTTAAAGACATGAAAGCGTGACTAGCAAGCAATTTAATTTCATCTTTAAATCTTCAAACATAGACATTGGCAGACTTTTGTAATCAATCATGACACAGACTTGCACTTATCATTTGATTTCTCAGACAGACAACAAAGGCTTGCCCAATAAGATTGGCTGAACCAGATGAATTGAATGTGAAAGTATGACTCTTAGAATGTGTCGTAGGTGTTAAGAAACGAATCAAGCAAGGAAATAAAATAGAAAGATAATAGACAATCACACGACACAAGATTTACGTGGTTCAGCAAGTATGCCTACTCTGCAACTGCACTAGAAATCCTTATTAAGTTTTTAATTAACTATAAATATAATACAAAAAATATTATCTATATTTATAGCATGGGCAACTAGGATTAACTGGCTCAATACATCTATAGACTTTTACGTAAAAGTTCTTATTAGTGAGACTATAGTGTGGTAACTCTACGTAGTGCACTAAACTACGAGCTATATTTATATCAATTTATAAACGCATAGGAAGTTGCATGTCATCAGAATGGAATAATGCTATTGTTGTGTGTTGAAGAACCACCATTCAACATAAAAACTTGAGTTGTGTGGCAAAGCCCATGAATGGTTTTATTTTATTATACTGGCGCATACGGCATACCCTTTAATCGTTGAACAACAAGGCTCTAATACTATATCTAAAGAACACCAAACCAAAACTTATGCTATTGAATGGAGCTCTAGGAAATGGTTTTATATCATTAACTGTTTAAGTTATGTATGTTATATGCTATCTTATTTGCCATGACTGAACCAGCTTCACATTAGCTACTTCAATTGGTGAAGGCCTACGTGGCTGAACAATACATACCTCTCTCTCTCTCTCTCTCTGCTCTCTGGGGTTTAATGTGCTCATTTGATGTTCAACAACATGACAGGTGGTTTATGCCCTAAACTACATAATAGAAAGCAACTCAACCTGCACTATTGGAGAACTAACCCCAGCAAAATCAGATTCCCCAGTCCGTGCACGAGACTCTTATGAATCACCGGATTATGATGATTCATGCTATGCTGTAGAAACCTCGTCTACAAGCTTTACTACAGACACCATGTCGACAAGCAGCACAAGTCACAGGAGTCTAAGACTTCCACCATCACCCCCAATAAATTTTCACCGTCACCTCCAATATTAGCCATTTCTTCAAGATCATGCACTTCAGTGGACTGGATAACGAAGGTTCGTCTTAAGGTCGAGGCGCTGTACTTCATAGAGATGGGGTTAGCTAGATGTAATGTCCAAGAGCTTCAGCTTCTTGAGATAATTAATATATGTTGATTATCTTGTTATTTGTAATATGCCAGCAACTGTTTTTGGCTGGATTTGACTTTTAAGTTTCAGATTTATTTTCTTGTAATGAGTTTTCATGGGCGTCCTTTAGTCCCAACACGACTGGCACGCGTTTGATTGAACCGGGGAAGTGGACTTCATTCCAGGATACCACCTGACCGTCAAGTAGAAAAATTATACCTTGTCATAATAAATTTATAACTTATACATTTCAGCAATCATAAACTATATTTGTAAGGCAAGTTCGAGCAGGAAATGAAATTTTTTTGGAACGTTGAAGGCTACCCTTAATCGACTCATGGTACCATCTTTTTTTTCCTACAAAAATTGGGAGGAGTAAGCCACCCCTAGCACCTAACATGGCATTTGTACACCTATCCATCGCATCTATGTCATCTGTTCATCGCATCATCTATTCATTGCAACTATGTTGGAACCAAAACTCAACGCATCTGTCTGGAACCAAAACTTCAGATAGCTCTGAAGATGAAGCTATTGGATGCAGAATTGTCAAATAACCTCGTCGGATTCAATAACCTCATAGGATTCGATCACTCCAATTCAAGCATCAAGCAAGGAGATTAGAAGTTTTTACCACTGGCCGAGGCAATTGTTGGCATTTTCATCCGTGCTTGGAATAAAAGGGATTGATGGTAGAAAAGATCAACCTAAAGCTTGTAGAAATGACAAAAATAGAAATGGTGTGACTGAGAACCCCAAGCAAAATGCAAATAAGACCATGGCAAAATGCAAATAAGACCATGTTCCCCCCAACAAAGCAACAATGACGTTTACATATGGAAAAACTTAGGTAGCACTGAACAATGGTAAACTATATACTGAACCACTATTGGGTCCTACCTAATTTTATTTCAGTTTCATGTGGTCAGAGAAGAGAAGAAAATGAAGTACAAAAAACTCACCTACACAAAGATGTAATAACGCATTAACTGAAATTCAGAAGGAGATCGCATACAGAGCACAGCTCTTCACTATGCAGCAGAAAGATGAGTTGAATCAGAGCAAAAACCACTCAAATCAATGGAAACAAATCAAGTCCATCAAATAACCAAAATCATTGAGTTGAAGGTGCACGTCATTCTACAAATTTAGCAAAAGCCATAATGCACTTGTATACCTTGTCTAAGTTTTGATACTGGCAAACATGCATTGCCTTGTTTCATGAACCAGAAATGAAAAAACCCTGACTGAAACATACCATAACATGAGTCTCTTACTCTAATTGACTTTTCTCAGTTCGGTAGGTACTCGGACCTCATGACTACCTAAATCATAGGCATCATCAACATGAATGAAGCAACAAGCACCAAAAGGTCATACATTTGATAGATAGCAGACTTCAAGGGAGTTCAGAAATTTGACAGACAGCAGGGATGTTGTTCCATGTACAAGAACCAAGTCCCCATCCATGACTTATAGATGCTCCAGTAGCCATCTGCTTGTACTCACTACCCAAATCATCACCAAGAAGGGTTGCTATGGCATCAGTCATGATGACTTGGTCCTTTCCATAAGTAGAGTCATGCTCAAGCCAATCTGAATCAAGCAAGGCATCAGGGTGAATAATATCCAACCGAGTAGAGGACTCTTTTTCTCTATCTGCAGTCCAAGTCTGATCAATAGATTCTGATTTCACATTGAACTCTGCAGAACATCCAAATTTACGTTTAGATCCTGCAATCGAAAAAACCAGGAGAACTGTGTAAAGGACCAATCTTGCTTTTGAAATGAGGACCTCAAGGAGAAGATTGCAAATAACTGGAAACGACAGAATGAATTTAAGAACAAGAAAATGCAGACAGATAATGTATAAACCAGTTCTGATCTCTCTCCAGTATTGTTAAGAATTACATGAGTTTTGCATTTTGCAAAATCCAAGAGAAAGACAAATAGTTAAGATAAACTTGATCTTTTTTTTTTTTTTGTTGGGGGGGGGGTTGTGGGGGGACATTCAACAAACTCGATAGTATTATATTAAAGATAACCGGAGGAACCCACAACATAACTTCAAACAAATAGATTATGACCATCATCCTTGATAAATTCATGTGAAAATAGATGCTTACCAGTAAAGGTCTCGGTAGGTGGTGATTCATCCAAAGAGCTTCCACTGGCACTAATGGGAGTGCACTCGCTGAAAAGGGAGGTTGCAGTATGACCCAAAGGAGAAATGGGGTCACCATAGTCTTCCCATTCTGTCTCGCAAATATTAAGGGCAGCACTGTCTGCATTATCACCAGGAGTAATGGTTGATGAATTTGAACTCTTGTCAGATGATTGATTCTTTGCACTGCTTAGAGTTTTTGCCTCATGAAGTAAAGCATCCAATAGGCCACTATTACGCAGTGATGGACCATCTGAATCAACTGTCCCAGTAGGGGGAGATTGGATAAAAGTATCAACAGAATCAATTAAAGGTGATGGGGAACAAGATGCCCCCCAGCCACCTAAATCAGTTTCTGAATATTGGAGTGAAGGGAGCTCCAACTTCACAGCCTCGGAAGTGGGCTTAGAAGCAGAGAAATCGCCATTAGCAAGGGTATGGCTACCCTGATTTTCGCCAAAAAACTCTGGGTTCTTGGTGGTAGCATCAGGATCAAATGGAAAAGGTAACCCAAAGTATTGAGCAGCTTTATCATTGTGCTGAAACTGGTCAAACAAGTGGAACTCATTTTTCATGCCGCCACTGAAACTGGATAATAAGGTTTTTGCCTCTCGAAGATGCTTCTGACGGTGCAATGTTGGCGACATGAAGCTTCCATATTGAGAAGAGCTCAGACCTTTCATCAGCATGCTGCTTGCAGTAATATCAGGAAGTTCGGGGATGTAAGGTAAGATGCTTTGGTTGGCCTTTAAATTGTCGAACATGACATCAGGTATCCCATAATTGTTGGTCTGCAAGGTATCATGCAGACCTTTATTCCCACTATCGATTCCGTTAATGTTCAGGCATCGTTGACTCTCCTGCAAAGCTTGCAAAGAGACTTCAGGTGGATAAAGGGGTAAGCCAGCCCGTTGACGCCTCTTAATTCTGGTATTCCAGTAATTCTTTATCTCATTGTCTGTACGACCAGGCAACTGAGAGGAGCAATAGAAACAAAAACTTAGGACAATTAAGATGCTACAGAAACCTTTTCAGAACACAAAATTAGGAGACCTTGAAACCAACAACAGCTACAATGATTTGTCATATGCAAACTAGCCAGAGATACAAAAGTTTCCATTAGTAACATTATTGCAACAAATCTATGCACGACACATTCAGCCTGTAAAGATGCATGGATGCTGAAAAATCTAGAATAACCAGTTTAGGTCCTGACTCCTGTTTGTAGATGCATTAGAATCTATCACCCAACAGAAGAGCCCCTTGACATTCCAAGGATTTGCCGATTGATGCGTCGTTTCTTTTTTATTTTCATGCATGCATTTTCTTTTTCTTTTTCTTTTTTTGGTTGTTGCTGTTGTTGTGTGTGTGTTTGCGTGACAAATCTGGTATTCATGAAATAGAAAATCTCACTACAAGAAAAAAGAACATGGAATTACGTGAAGGAGAAAGGCACCCTCCATGAGAAAATGGAAAAAATAAGTGAACAGAGCAATTTAGTCTCATTATCTGCTAAAGAAACTCCTAAAATCCTCAGATATAGTAGATCATAAAGAAGCCCAAAGGGTAAAACTATCCCACAACAGCACCCACAAAAGACAGATCCTTGAGAATTCCCATCTTTGCAACTTAAAGGCCTATACTTTGTGAAGAGAAAAAGATCAAACCATTTGATCTTTCAGATGAGATTGTCAGTAGTAACTACAAACCTAGAGCACACACATCACTGTTTCAATTATCAGTTTATAACTTATGGTCCATGTTGCTTTTTAGCCCAAATTCTGCTGCTAATATTCATACGAAGGCAAGTACAAAGAAAAAAGGATTGCAGAGCAGCACAGATATCCAACAGCAATCAATCATGCACTTACATGTGCAGCCATTCTTGCCCATTTGTTTCCCATCTTGGCATGAAGTTCGATGATTAGCTGTTCTTCTTCTTGAGTAAATGATCCTTTCTTTAAATTAGGCCTTAGGTGATTGGCCCATCGCAATCTGCAGCTTTTGCCACAACGGAAAAGCCCCGAGTGCTTCTGAACAGCATTCCAATTCCCCTCCCCATGCTTCTTCACATATTCTATCAAAATTGCATCTTCAGCAGAAGTCCATGGCCCCTTCTTAAGAACAACCCCTCCACTTGCACTTCCACCATAGTTGTCTTCCTCACCCAATGGCGACTCAATCTGATTATTGGAGAGCATGCCATCCTCACTCTCACTTGTAGTGCGACTCATCTCCTTTTAATCACACAGACAATCCCTATTAAACAACTCAGAACCATTCAATCAGCAGGGTGAGAACCTGAACCAAAAAAGAAGATGCAGAAACAAAATTATACAAATAAATGAAAAGGGCAGCGCCTTTTGCTCTCCAATTTTTATACTCGCACTCCACCTCCCAAAGAATCATTTTTTCCAATACAATCCCATTATCACAATAAACAACTAGTGGGGTGAAAATAGTATGCTTAGCACAAATAAAATCTAAATCCAGTTAAAGCATGTAGAGAAACAAAATTATTTAAGCTACTGCAGAGGCAAAAACAAAAAAAAAAAAGGAAAAAACATGAGAATTGATATCCAAATAATTGCATCTAAGGTGAATGCGAACAATGCAGAGAAAGGTCAGACAGGAACACTAGGAACTCATTCAAAGAATAAAAAAGCTTAGCAAACAGTACTTGAGTGTCTAATGATGATAAACTAGGAAAAAAAAAGGCACAGATCACAGAAACCAAAAAAGAAAAGGAAACACTTAATAACCTTCCCTCTGTTTAATTAAATGTTTTTTTTATTTTTTTACCAAATCTGGAAGCCAACAAACGAAGAATGGCTCAGCCATACGTTTGGACTAAAAACTAAGACATAACCCATTTCCAAATTCATGAAAAAGTGAACTTATTGCACACAATTCATTTCTGTTCACCAAGTATAAAAGTCATAAAAGGAACCCTGTTGTCATTTATTGCTAGAATACTCAACATTAATTTCTACAACAATAAAATTAGCTGAAAAATGAATCATGCCATGCTGCTTTTAACAGAATATACCGCTATTCCAGCTATCAATAGAAACAATAAAAATTGAAACTTTTTCCTTGATTAACACAAATCTAGCAAAAATGACAAAAGAATCTAACAAGAGCATTGAATACCTGAATCAGACCAAGATACCAAACACAAAGCTTTAAGCTTTGGGTCACCAAAATTGGAGCTTTGAAAGAGCTCAGAGATTATCCCTGAATGAAGTAAAAGCTGATGATAGGGCAAAAATTGAAAACCTGAAAAGCACAACAAGGAAAGAACCAAACTTTAATGCAATAATCAATACCCAGATATCAATATACCCTGAATCTAAATTAGAATCAACACAAATTGCTAAATTCGCACAATAAAACCCAAATTAGCAACACCAAACCCTATTTTCCGAAATCAAAAATTAAAAGAAAAGAACTAAAAGGAGTGATATTTAAGCTCAAAATTCGATCTTTTTTGCAACACAAACAGAAACTAAGTTCAGCAAAAATAAAAAAGAAATAAAAAAATGATCGTGACCTTAATTTGTGGAAGAGGACAAATAAGATCTGTGCATAAAATGAGCAAAACATTGAGAGATGCAAATTGGAATCACATGCACAAAGAAATAACAGAGAAAAAGAGTGTGCAAAACGAGAAATCTTTTGAGAGAGAGAGAATTGAAAAATGGAGATTCCTAGAGAGTGAAATTGAGCTGAGAAATGGGTGGCAAAAGGAGAGGGAAATTAGGAGAGAGAAAGAAGGATAAAACTGCACCTAGAATTAATTATTCATTGATTTCAAGCATCAATTGACACTACTATCCTCTTTTAAGTACGTAGCATAGCATGATTTTCAGTAGAAGCTTGAATTTATGGGTTGTTTTGCTACTTCCTATTCTTGTTTTAGAAATTTTTTAAAAAAAATCGAGTTGTAGCTAGATACAGAAAAATAAACATTTCTCTTAGCACTTACTTGATACGCCTTTTTAGAGAGAATAATAACAAATGGAGAGTGAGAGACAGAGAGAGAGAGAGAGAGGAAGGGAGGAGGGGATGATTTCTTGACTTGATCAACCAAAACTCTCGCTCATTTTCTTCCTTCTTTCCTTCCTTGTGCTTTAAAGTGTGTATGTATTATGTATATGTGTGTGTGTATATATATATATATAAAAGGAATATGCTAAGGGTAGAGCAACCTTTTTCTGACACAACATATAATAAACAAGTATTCCACAGTTGAATTCAATTGCAAGGCAAGAAAAGGTCTCTTATAGCCATTCAATTTCAAGAAAAAGATTTTTTGTGATGGTAAAAATATTTTCGAGCAAAGCTTTTCTTATCGTAGATCAAACATAAGGTCTCGGAAGTAACAAAATCACCTTTTTATTTAAACTTCAAAAATAAATTTTGTAAATAATTTCGAATAATATATGACACGTTTAAAATTTATTAATCAATCAATTATAGCAGTGAAACAGATGAGATACTTTTACAACTATCACGTTAATATTAATAATATGTCAAGAGACATAAACTATGATGTGAATATTTTTATATATTTTTTTAGTGGTAAGGATGGTTTTAGGTTGTTTTTCATATATTTCAAGATTAATTTTTTTTTACTTGGATAAAAAATAATCTTTATTTTGAATGTTTTGAAAATAAATTTTGAAGAGGGTTAATTATGAAAATTAAATCATGAATTTAGTTTACAAGTCCACATTTATTTATTAATTAGTTAGCACTTTATAGTTTAATATTTTTATCTCTTTATTTAGCGTTAGTGTTGAATAATAATAAATAAAGACCTTGGATAACTAATTAATTAAAGATTTATATGTAACTTTTAATGTTTAGAAAATGAAAAAAAAAAGTCTGAGAAAAATATGGAGATTTGCTATGGCGGGATGAAATTTGGTTTAAAATGATTGGGATGAAAAAAAAAAAAAAAAAGAATTTTTTTTGCAAGTAATCCTTTCAGAGGAAGAATAAAATTTTAGAACGAAGTAAACATTACAAATTTCATACTTTTTCTATTTTCTTAAATATTAAAACCTGTAGAGAAATCCTCAAAAACTTCACTAATGCTGGAAAAAAAATTCTTCGTGACTTTTCTTTTTCTTTTTTCTGAGTTTTATACTTTTTTAATTTCCAAAAAAAAAAATTGCATTGCATATCAAAGTATAGACCTGGACTGCAAATGCAACAAACTTATCTGATGCAATCCCTATTAAAATCATTGCTAAAATTTTAAAAAATTATATAAAAAATACAAACATATGAAAGTGAAATAAAATAATTTAATTCTATTCTATTTAAACAATATCGTAAAAATAAAAATCATAACAAAAACTACACAAATAAACTTTCGCATAGGCGCGTATCTGCAAGACTGCAACCAGCTCTTCGGTAGTTTGGATACTGGAGCGTGATGTACAATCGAGAGTAAGGAGAGTGGAGTTGATTTGAGAATGAAAGTGCGAACGGATTTATGATCCAATTTTAATTGCCATGTTAGGGAAACACACATGGCCACATGGGCAATGGCTGAATTATTAATACAATTGTTGAAAACGGGAAAGGGTATTATTGTCTTTTGCTTCACCATAGAATCGTTTCCCCGGTATTGACGCGAAACGAACCCTAAAAAAAAAATAATAATAATTCTTTTTGTGTTTTTATTTTCGCAGAAACGAGCAACAGAAATATAACATATTCAGAAAACTAAGAAATTCGTTTTAATTATTTTCTTGGATTTTGAAATGAAAATTTTAAAATCTACATTTAAAATTTAAAATTTAAAATTTAAAATTGAATCCATCGAAATCATCAAATTTATGTATAAGACAAATACTATAAAATATTATCAAATTTATATATAAGAGAAATACTATAAAATATTATCGAACTTTAATCAAATAGAAGGATTTATCAAAATTATAAACAAAACATGACAAAGCATTGTAATGAAGATCTTATTGATATTGACATTATTTTTTGTTGTTTAATTTTTTGATAAATATATCATTTATTTTTATATAATATTTAAAATCTTTTATTTGTTCATAGATTTTTATTATATTAAAAAATTAAAATATTTAATATATTATTTCGATCAAATTTTTCTTACCATATAAAATATTTTTACCCCATATATTCTTTGTGAAAAAAAACTTAAAGTCACATTTCATACATATTTCATTTTTTAAGTTTTTTTGAAATTTTAGTTTATTTTTTTATTTTAATCAGATATATTTCGATTAAAAATTAATTAGTTAAAAAATTAATTAAAAAATATTGAATATTTTAAATATTTTTAAAAACAAATTGAATGTAGAGAAAACTTTCTATATTATTTAAGTATAAATAGTTTTATTTATCTTAATTTTTGATTAGAATGGACCCCTTCAACACATGGTACGGAGCTTAAACAAGGTAATATGCAATACGTATATAGATTGAGCATGTGGGCTCAGGGCATTATCGAAGCCTACGTTATGGGCCCACCATATCCTACAATGTCCCACCATTTTTAAAGTCGTTTTCATATCTCAATCAGACAAGAGCCTTGACCTAGCTCATGGCCCAGGTCTTCTTGTCTCGCAAGTCCACAGCCAAGTAAATCAATGTGCTAAAAATCACACATGGTCCCTCTACGTGTTATATTTTAAAATCAAATCCCGTATGTTCAATTCGGTCGAGTGAAACAGCCTATTTTCAATTCAAGGCAAAAAATTTTGGTATGTAAAATGGATGCATAGGCTACAGATAGGCTCGATCACATACTTGATAAGATGTATTGTGCTTTTTACACCTTGAAATATTTAGAAAAATTCTCATCGCATATGTATCAAAGTCAAACTTAGAGTATTTTTATAAATACAGTTAATTAAATATAGATATATTCTTTAATAAATTAGTAATGGAGCTCGAACCTGAGATTTCTAGACTAACGAATGAATATTTTTTTTATTATTATTTGAGTCAACCACTTAAAAACACTTTAAGGCAATTTAATCCAATTAAATCATAGAAAATTGTTATCTATCCTTCCGTTTAATTGATAAGGAATTAAATGAGGTAGATAAAATTACCTTTGATTGGAAGTAAGGTGGTTAATCTGATTCAATTTAAAGTAGAGGGTTTGATTCAATAAGTATGTAAAGTTGAGGGCTCGCACATGCTTTTTATACATTAATTATGACTTAGCGTGAAAAGAATAAATAGAGAAGGCCAGTTGTGGCAACTTCAATACCTATGCGTGGCTAGCTAGATCAGTACGCTATCACCATCTCTTTTTGTCAATTTGGACGATTCAATGATGTCATTCAAGCCCAAAGTATACATAAAAAGTTCTGGAAAAACGAAAATTCTGAGGTTTCCATTGTTGTCTCTATCTCTCAACTTTCCTCACAAAATTATGAACCCTCTATATTTGTGTTTGTCTGTGCACAAATTAATGGTTGTTGACAATGATAGCATCCTCATAATTGGTGCTCACGGAATTTAACAAGTCTCGTGAAATATCAGCTTTTCTCTCGTCTTTCCACCCTTAATCTGTTAAGTCTGCCTTTTGCTTTAATTAGATGGCAACTAAGTGAAGATTGAAGATAAAATTTTTAAAACAAAAGTAAGGGGGAAAAAATAAAAAATCAGGCAAAACATGGGTAAGTTTTTTTTTCCATATTATTAATTTGTTGTGCTGAAAACCGAAAAAAATTGATAACTATAGTTTTTCATCAGTACTGTTGCTTATTTGTGGAGTGATTGACATTTGCCTATAATATTGTTTTGAATTGAGTTCCATGTAATTTATTAAAAGAGAACTAATTATATAGATTGGTGATGGTTCCATTAACATGACACTCAAAATATCATAGATGATATATTTGGGATACTCATTTGTCTTTAAACCTCATTTAAAAGCGATGCATAGAAAAATTATGTTTTATTTTTAATCTATCTTTTCATGATCAGAAAAAAGACTCGATATATAAAACTCATCAGGACGAGGCCTAAGTAGGCAATTAGCAGTACAAGTGTCTCCAATTAAACTATCTAGCTAATGGTAAAGGGTTTACCGTTGCAATCTAGGAACCCAAAAAAAAAAAGATATACTTATTAAATAAAAATAAATCTCAAATGTTATTTTAGTTCAATTAACAAGAACTATGTGATTAACAATGATCTATCAACTTTAGAAACAGTCATCCTTTGATCAAAATTGAAAGTTGTTGATAGTGAAAATATAGACAATTTTAATCCTTTTTTTCATACAACTGGATATGTCTCATAGTTATATTATAAAAGAAATAAAGTTAAGACTATTCACTTACCGTAGCTCCTCACCCAAGGTCTTTATTCATATTTTTTTTGTTACTTCTTGGTCTCTCTTTCTTTGAAAAATAAATTAATTAGTCCATTTGATTTGAAAACTAATTTTTTTATCCTTTTTACCATTTTACTATTTTTATTTTTTGTTTTAAGAAATAGAAAAAATAATAATAATTCTTTGAGAAATAAATTAATTAGTCCCTTTGGTTTGAAAACTATATTTTTTTTTTTTGTCTTTTTTACCATCTTATTATTTTAATTTTTTTTTTAGGAAATAGAAAAAAAACCAAAAAAACAAGTAAAATTTTAAAAAAGACATTTTATTTTTTTAAAAAAAATTATCTCATCAAATCAAAAGTATCTTAATATTGTATAAAGAGACCATGAAATCCTATGTTAGGTTGTTTTAGTAATCCTTATTCGTTCTCGTGTTATTGTATAGATTAATGTGGGTGAAAAAAACAAGAAGAAAAATAAAAACAAATGCAACAAAGGGAGGTAGAGATGGTTTTTGAGATAAAGAATTGAAAAGAGAGAAGTACAAATAAATTTTAATGATTCATAAAAGTGATAACTAGAGACCTCTTTTTTTTTTTTTTTACTTTTTTAGGACCACCATGTAGAATTAAGAAAATGGTAAATTGGAATATTAAAAAAAAAATGATCTTAGAAAAAAAGCAAAAAAATAAGTAAAATATGAAAAAAAGACAATTTATAAAATAAAAAATAAATTATTCATGATCAATACTGATTAAAAAATTTATTTTTGAAATCAAAAGAATTAATTAATTCATTTCTCATAATGAGATGAACCAATTTTGTAATAGTTTTTATTTTGATTTATTGATTTTAATAAATTCAATACAGATTTCGGATGGTTTGTTTTTAATTTTGTTTATACTATATATTCTTAATCTACCGATATATATATATATATATATATATATATATATATATATATATATATATATATAGAAAATTAATTGTGTATTTGCATACATAGGATCAATTATTTATTATTTATTTCTTTTTATATTCTAAAATAAATATTTTTTAAATAAAATAATTAAAGTAATGTTTTAAAAGAACCTTTCAATTATTCAAATACAAATTTTTTATACTAATATTATTGATTATTTTGTTAATAAATATTTATAAATGAAATGATTTTACTCGATAAATAGGTTTGATTTATATTAATTACGAAAAATAAGATTTTGATCCGTACTATATCATATGAATCGTTGATTTTATGTATATAACAATTATTTGATCGCAACGTAACGCGGGTATCCAGCTAGTAAACAACTATAAAATATATATTAGGAGTTTTGAACTCTTCCATTTTAATATCATTGTTTATCATATCTTTTTATACTAATATTATTATCTTTTCATGTCACAACTTCACCTCATGCACTAATCTAATCATCTAAAAAGTCTTACTTCCAATTAGAAAAACTTATTTTGTAAATATTCGAGTCATTATAACTACTATTAACGAGACTGTCGTTGAGTCATCATCCTTCGAGTTTTTGCAATATCATATATAGATAAATACGAAGGATTTTTTTGAATTATCTCCGAATGAAGATAGAGATGGAAAGCCTCCTTCAATATGTATCTGAGAAACTATAGAATATTATCGTTGTATATATCAATTTTCTTTTCACACGTTCTGGCTAACCAAATGGAGGCGAGGAATAGATTACAAATAGCATGGGCAGCTATGCGCCTATGCGTACTTCTGTCTCTATCAATCTTTGTGGAGCAATTACATGCATGGGAGCAAGAGCAATGATATTTTTAATGGCAAAAAACAGAGAACATAAAGAACAATAAAGAGGGCAGAGAAAGAAAAGTGACGTATGCAGGCATGAATTATATAGTTTCCTTTGGATTTTTCCAACAGTTGACATATGTAAGTTATATATAACTTGCCACAACAAAACAAAGTATTGGCTAAGCTTCACAGATAGAAAGGCAAAGAAAGAAATAAAAGGCAAGGAAAAGGCTTTAGATTATTCACACCAGACAAGACTAGATGGCTAGCTAGTACAGACGGCTAGCTAGGAATTTCAGAGGCAAAGTTTTCATCAAAGACATGCGGCTTAGCTTCGATCGATGAATTAATCCATATTGCAAGCTTCTCGTGATGGAAGTCCATACGTTTCGCTATCTTTTACTACTTTAATTTCCCAAACGCGTTGGGTTTATCCCTATCTCACCCAACTTGCGAGCAAATTATGTAATCAAATGTCAGAAATGCATACTCCTGTTAATCCGATGTTTTTAAGGAGCATTGTCAGTTGATCACAAGGGCCATTTTTGTTGCGTACATACATAGCCTTCATTCATTGGATTGGAAGGAATCTTTTGCTTTATTACGTGTGCATGCTTATGGATGCATATACTTTCCTTTTCTCATCTGAGCTCCCTTGCACAATGGCTAGCTACTATCATCACATTCTTAATTATTAGTTCCTTGCTATTAATTTCATGCATTTGAATTCCTAAATAAATATATCATTAAGAAGATTGATTGGAATGGAAGAAGTTTAAATAAGTGGTCTCGTGTTCGAATCCTTATGTATGTAAAAAAACTCCTTAAATAGTTGTGATCTGTCTTGTGTGTTCAATCGAGAAGTAAGAGATTAACTTGGAACTTTAGGCTTAAGATATCTTGAAAATCATATATACATAATTAAGTAGATGTCCCTCGCCACTTCAATTTGGATAAGTTTTTACATGAATGTATATGTATAGGATAGAGGATGATGAGATTTAGTTATTGGACAATTGCATTTGAGTCTCACTCCATCGAAAGAAGGGATCAATTTTGGATATTTTGTATATACGTGTGAGATTACATATTTAAAAAGTCAAGACGCATACGAGTAATTCGAGTCTTAAAAATATTGATTTGATTATAATAATTAGTTATTACCGGTTAACGTATAAGTTGATTTGAAATTTTTTTTACCGTCAAATAAAAAAAAACAATTAGCACTAAATTTTATCTATCTATTTCTTTATTTTTGGGTCCTTCAAAATGGACTGCTAAGAATAACAAGGGCAATATAAAGCTGAAAAATTTATGGCAAGGGGATGCCATAAGGCGAGCAGAGCTTCAATGCAGCAACAACCATCCATGGGACTGCAACTGCAATATTTTCTACAAATTGCAAAAGTTATGTGGGCCTTTTGAGTTCAGCATGAGAGATCATTGGGAATTAGGATCTATCATCTAAGCTAGTATAGCATCGTCTAGATAAGTTAGGAGGTAGACTTGCTGAGTAAGCCCATCAACATTGGTTCAAATTCCATAATAAATTAACCAGCTAAAAGTTATTTGGATCTTGCTAGATCGATATCGTTTGGCAGGCCTTGCTCTAACCATTGTTGAAAGAGATGAAAACTATGCAAGAAAAATAGGTATTGCTTATGGCCAGAGACGAGACAAAATCCATTCTGATTTGCAGGCCTAACCCACTCAACAACTGGTCCAGGCTCAAGCTTAAGTAGAAAATCACCTTAAAACATTTATACATGGCCTAATAATATTTCATGCATGGCATAAATTTCTCCTTTTTTGAGGATTTCTTACATGTTTTGAGTTATTGTTTAAGAAATCATCTGTATGTTAGTGAGAATGTTTTAGTAATCTTGTTATTCTTAGTTCTCTTGGCATTTCTTATAACTACTATACTAATACCTTTTGTTTTTATTTATTTATTTGTTTGTTGCTAAAAAAATTGGGTTCCGAGTTAGCTTGTGATTTTTGAGTTGATTAGTTTTTAGTGGTAAAAATCAGCTAAAACCTGAGAAATTTTAAAATATTCGAAATGGTTATTGTATACTTTTAATAGTTACTACAAAGATTTACTTTAAAAAAAAAAAAAAAACTGTATCTAAATCTACAAAATAATAAGAACATTTTTATATCAGTTCAATTTTTAAATTTTTTTTGTTCTATTTCCCTCTTTTTTTCTTTTATGAAGTAAATATGTATAATTACACTATGAATGATATAAAATTTCAAGTCGAAACCCTTAGTGAGCATGGGTGACGAAAGCTTGCAACACGAGGAAGGACAATAAATGCATGGGTAACGGAAGCTTGTAATATCAGGAAGGACAATAAATCGGTTGTACAATTAAATGATTTTTCATGTAAATTAAGGAAAGAAAAAATCCGACAAAATTCCGCATGTGAAGCGTGAATACCTTTTCATTTCTCAAGATTAATATATTAATAACAGTAAAAGAAAAAAAATAGTAAAGTACTGATAAAGGTGGGATCAGATTCAGAATCTCACCCATCTTTGTTTATAACTTTTAATGCATAAACTCAGTGAAAGATTTGTCCACATGGATGAGTTGGTGACTACTTTTAGTGAAAGATTGTAGCTAACTTGAAAGCAATAATTTTAATCAATGAATGTGACATGAATTAATACTTAACATGTTAGAACTTCCTCCACGAAATTACTAATTGATGGAATGTTTTTTACGAGGATGTTTTGAAGAATTATATAGGAGAAAGGAGTTCTTAAAGAGTTTAAACAGAATAGTTGTCGAGGATCATTGCTTATAACTGAAAAATTAATATTTATGGGCAATTCATTCAAGTGATAGTAATTTGTAGAAAAAAACTATTACAAAAATCAAATTTTTATGAAAGATAAAACTACGTAGACACTCCTGAATGAAATGATTTAATTCATTTTATTATCTGATTTTTCGTCCTCAAAACTATATGGTGTTTAGTTTATCATAAAGAAAAAAAAGCTATATGGTGTTTTGATTGATTCATTTTAATTCAATCATTAAATATTACATACAAGTTGTTTAGACGTTTTTTTTTTTCGAAATGGCAAAAACTCTTCAAAAAGTTATAAAATAATAACGGGTTTTTTTGTTTTTTATCAGAAATTTATCGTATTATATATGACAACTTACCAAAGTCTCGGTAAAGGTCATTGTTTTGCAATTATTTCATCAAATTTTGATAATCTTTTGACATTTCATAAAAAAACTTACGAATCTCGTATATTTTTTTAATAAAAAGTAGATAGAAGGTGACGAAATAAATGACGATCAAAGCATACTATAGTTTAAGAGTTCAATTCGCCATGAGTGTCGGTACACATCAGCCCTTAAAAGACAACGTTGTTAGTTTCTTGATGGCTGGATGAGAAGGAGCGATTGGCACGTCAAAGTTGTCCGTCGGAACGATATTTTTAAATTTTCATATCTTATATGACAAAATTGAATTGACCATTTTTATCTCAGGTCGTGTCAACAGAGACACAAGTAAGAAACCGTTTTGGAATTCTTTGGGACCAGACAAGAACAAAGAGGGATGCATCACTCACACAAAAATCACTAATCAATTCAATTTGTTTATATATATTTCCATCAACTTAAGAGTCTTTGCTTATGCATATCAAATAGTTCGTGAAAAAATGAAAATATTCCTCCTCCTTTTTTTTTTTCTGTCCTGAATACACGGGGTCTTGAGGCTGCCAGAGGAACAAGTGGCGTCTTATGGGAATGGGACGATCGTTGTTCGGCATACTGGAGTATGGGTTGCGAACTACATTTCTAGCCAAGAGTCGAAATACATGCACTTTAGCTTTCTTTTTTCTTTTTTCCTTTTCTAGTTTTTTTGCGCCGTGAATCTTTTTCTTGATTAACAAGTAAAATATTGGAGGACAGGCCAGAATTATGTAGTACCAAGCATTTACTTCTATACCGAAGGTTGAACAAACGTGCAACATGCATGCGCCAATTAATTTTTTCATATTCCCAACACTAGTTTAATTACAAGGTCAACTAGCCCAATAACTGCAGCGGATAAGCCTATTATATCTATATTTTAATATTTTAAATAATTTTAAAATATAAATATAAAATAAAAAAAAAAATATATATATATATATATATATATATATATATATATATATAATTGAATTTAAATATATCTTAAGAATTTTTGTTATTTTGATAAATAAAAAATCCATGCAATTAATTAATTATTTTTAAAAATCAAATTAGAAGGAGATGCTTAATGAATTTATATTAGAAGAATATCTAATTTTAGTTAATGAATATCTATAAAAATAGAAAAAGTAACCATTAATTATGGAAAAAAATTATTTTGATAAAATAATAATTAATGAAAAAACAACCCAGATTGTACAAAAAAATAAATGGACCTTTTTGTAATATAAATTAAAATTATGAATTTTTTATATAAAGTAATAACTTAGAGGATCAAAGTGTAAAATATTGAAAAAAATGACAAAATATCACTTAAAAAAAAACAGCGTCGTTTTGTGTCTAAAAGACCCAAAACAATGCCACTTTAGTTTCGCTTTAGCAAGAGCTTAACTACGGTGAAGCTCCGTCATCTTTTAGTATATGTTATAATGATTGCTTATATACATTTACTATTTCTTTTGTATTTGTTCCTTCGCTTTTATTTTATTTTTATTTTTTTGTCTTAAGTTTGTTATTTTGCATCTGTTTTTTTTTTAATTCATCATTCCTTTAGTTTTTTAAATTAAGGTGTTAAATAACACCGTTGACTCTAAATAATTGCAACACATGCCGAGTCTATTTTTTTCATTTTAATCTAGGCTCTATGTTTTTTTTTTTTTTAAATAGCATTGAAAATTTAGAAGGCGATGCTAATTAAGAAGGAAGAGGCAATCCAATAAGCCATGAAAATATATTTTTATCTTCACTTTATTTTTAATTTTTTCACTATAAAAAATAAAGAGACAAGATGAAGACTAAAAAAAAAAAAAAAAAAATTTGACACGTAGCACAATCCCATGAGACTAATGGTGCAATTTAACGTTATTATTCAAAAAGTTAGTTGAGAGATGAACTTAAAACGCAAAAAAAAGACGTATATCACAATCTTGCGAGGCTAGCAATGAAATTTAACACCATTAGCTTAAAAAAATAACAGAGGGATGAACTTAAAACAAAAACCAAAAGTTGATAAACAAACTTAAGATGACAAAAAAAAAAACGATAAAGACGAAATAAATAGCAGAGTGATCGTGCAACAATTAACCCTTCAATCACAAATAATGGTTGCTTGTGATTTGTTCACATATTTTTTTTGCATTTAAGATTGTGATTAAATAAACAAATTGTTATACTTGTAAAAAAAAATAAAATGAATAGGAATAGCAATTGGTGCAATGGTAGCAACACAAACTAAATTTTAAATTGTTTTACCAATAAATAATACTATTTCTAGTGTTAATGAGTTTTTTTTCCCTTTCGGTTTCAAGATGCTAGGGCATAATTATTGTTTCAAAATCAATCATTATATTAACATCGATAACATCAAATCGTTTATACTTGAATATCAATCAACGAAGGTAATATAAGAATAAATATAAGTTATAAATATATTATCGATAACTTTTTTTTTTCAAAATCAATCACGACATCAACATCGATGATATTGAATCATTTAAATTTAACTCATATCGGTTGATGAATTACAAGATGATTAGCAAAGTAAGTCATAACCGCGACATTAACATTGACAATGTCACATAGTTAATAATTTACTCAACATAATTAATGAAGGTGAGTTGATAATTTAGACAAGTCATAAATATACAATCACTAATTAAATTTTTTCTCAAAATTAACTCGACATTGAATCGTCGACATCTTAATCAATATCGAGTCGACAAGTACAAATTGACAATTCGGATTAGTTGCAACCATGATGCTAATATCGATAACATTGAATAATTGATTTTTTACTCAATATTGGTCAAGAAGACAAGATGATGACTAATACAGAGTTATAATCATATAACCAATAAACTTCTTTTTAAAATCAACGATGACGTGAATATCAATGATATCAAATTATTTATATTTACTTAATATTAGCTCATAAATATAAGATGATAATCGAGACAAACCATAAATACAAGATTTGAAACTACTTTTTACTTAATTTTTATTTTTATATTAAATTTATAAATCATATAAGTGAAAATTTCTCTCATATGTACATCGATAATAACAAGAAATAAAAAGTTTTTGGTTTTTTTTAAAGTTTCGGATTGCACGTAACTCATCAAAACAAACGTTTAATTTGTCACATTTTCTAATTCTATATATAATAATTTTATAAACAAATATTCATTGTGATTTTAATCTACATTAATTTTATACAAAGAGACAATTCATGTAAATTCCCATACAAATGTTTTTTAACATCTCCGATCAACCGTTTAACATGTCTCGAAACCCACAATTCAAGTTAGCACTCATCATATTTGTTTCCCTGGATGTTTTAATGCAATTTAATTTTTTTATAAAATGTTTTTTTTTAATTTGTTATAAATTCTCATGCAAAAAAAAGCTGTTGCATTGAATATTATTGAATATATATAAAGTGGCATGTAAAGACTACGTCCGGTCCAACACACCTCCTCCCAACAAACCAAATCGAACGGCTTAAAAACAACGCAAATAGACCATCGCCCTACCAACCCAAAAAGGGCAGTGAAAAAAAAAACGATAAAAAAAAAGAACAGAAAATACAAAGCCAAACACAACAATGCTCCCCATTGTAGACTCCCCTCCTACAAGAAAGAAAAAGTAAGCCAAACAAAAACATAAAAAATCCGATTCTCTCTTCACCAAAAAAAAAAAAAAATAAATCACAATCTTGATCAACAAAAACACGAATCTCTTTACTGCAACACCATTTTTAAGATCTCAGATCCATCAGGTAATCACAAAAACACTCTCTCTGTTCATTTTTCTCTTCTACATATCCTGTAAGTTTTTTTCATTTTTTATTTTTCTCTCTTCTTCATCAAATCGCTTATTTCACTGATTAATCAAACCCTAACTTCCACTATTTTTTTCCTCAGTAATAAAAAAATTTCTTTTTCTTGATGCTTGATCCTTCATTTTTCTTATCTTGATTTCAGCTATTATTTTTTTTGGTTTTAATTTTGGTTAGTTAATGCGTTTATGTTTTGATGATGATGGTCAGGGTTTGGTTTTATCGATGGAGAGTTTAGCGCAACTAGAAGCATTGTGCGAGAGGTTATACAATTCACAAGATTCTGCAGAGAGAGCACATGCGGAGCTCGCATTGAAATGCTTTTCAGTGAATACTGATTACATTTCGCAATGCCAGTACATTCTCGACAATGCGTCCAGGCCTTACTCGTTGATGCTCGCCAGTTCTAGTTTGTTGAAACAAGTCACTGATAATAGCCTCTCTCTGCAGCTCCGTCTTGATATCAGTAATAATTTATTTTATTATTTTTTCATTTTTTGTGTTTATTATTATTATTATTATTCTCCTTTGCAGCGGGCTGAATTTGTTTGTGTTTGTTTTGGTGGTAGGGAATTACTTGATTAACTATTTGGCTACCAGAGGACCATTAGCACAGTTTGTTAATGCTTCTTTGATTCAACTTCTCTGTCGTATTACAAAGTTTGGATGGTTTGATGATGATAGATTTAGAGAAGTGGTTAAGGAGGCTACAGATTTCTTGAGTCAGGTTGGATGTTTCTTCTGTTATGCGTTTCTTTTCGTTACTTCTCGGTCACGTGTTTCATGGCTCTTAAAGGTTTCACATATATGGTTATTATTATTTTTTTGTGAAGTGCTAGAGACGTCGATGATGCCGATGCAAATTTTTCGTTGATATATTTAATTTTGTCTGCTTTTTGAATTTTGATGTGTAGTTGCTCATTTTGCAAGTATTAAAGAAGCAAAACCAGCTCATAGCTTTGGCCTTTCTGAGGTGTTGCTATGATAATTTCCTTGCTCCTAAATTGGCATGTAACAAGCAAAACCAACTCGCAGCTTTACCCTTGCCGATGTGTTGCTTTGATAATTTCCTTGCTCCTAAATTGGCATGCGTAAGCAAACCAACTCATTGCTTTACCCTTGCCGATGTGTTGCCATGACAATTTATTTGCTCCTAAATTGGCATGTATTTAGCAAAACCAACTCGAAGCTTTACCCTTGCTGAGCTGTTGCTGCTAATGATATTTTTGCTCCTAAAATGGCAAGCAATTTAAGATGAAGTCATCCTGTTGTTTCCATGTTTGCATTATATGATACAAGTTTCTCAAGTTGAGTGCGATGTATATATATATATATGTATGTATTCTATGTTTTTGTGCGCATTTGTGTGCCTGCATGTGTATTGCTGAAATGTTTGGGTTGTGGCTTTTGTTGCATTTCAGTTTTTATGATTTTGTGACTCTGAATGGATCAATATGGCTATTTTTATATTATTGTGGAATGCTAGGTTTGTGGATGATACCTATGCGAGTATTTTGTTGCTATATTTAATTTTTTGTTCCCTTCTGAATTCTGATGTGTAGTTACTCATTTTGGTAGCATTAAAGATGGAAAACCAATTCATAGCTTTAGCTTTGACGAGATGTTGTTACTGATAATATCTTTGCTCCTAAAATTGGCATGTAATTTAAGACTAAATCAAATTATGTATTTTTTCTGTGTTAAACCTCAATAAAGGGTTGATTAAATTGTAGGACTAAAATGTAAAGTTCTTAAAATTTTGGAGGTTTCCATGACTTGCTCTTGTTAAAGTTTAGTTCCTGCCCTGATTCTATTCTTTATTTATTTTTTCTAAATGGCCATCTTCAGTACAAGGACAAAGATGACGAATAAATATCGGAAGAAGTTGATTAGATAATTTTTTCTAAAACACAAGTCCCAGCACTTTAATTGTTCAATAATGCACATTGCTTTGTCGTTTTACAAGATTTTTTTCATCCTATCTCTTATTGGACTGCCTCTTCCTTCTTATTATCTTCACCCCCTGAATTGCCATGTGCCGTTCTTCTATCTAGCAAACTGAAGTTCTACATGCTGCTTATGAAGATTTCAAAGTGTTTTGTAACAGTTTTAGTTATACTGCATATTGATTCTTTTTTCCTATTTTATGCACTACTTTCTTTTTGGTTACATGCAGTTATTGATTTTGTCATTTGGAAATACACCGTTATTGATGAGGTATGTTTGGAAACATTTATTATTACGTTGGTGTTATCATTATTTACTTTTCCCCTTTAAACAGGCATCTACGCATCACTATGAAATTGGTCTGAAGATACTGAATCAACTTGTGTCTGAAATGAACCAGGTTAGTTTCTTGCACTTTTCAAAGTTTCTCAATACTATGGTGCTAGTCGCTGTCTTGTAATTAAAAATTAAATGTACTTCTTGTTCTTGGGATGATTTCCTAGGAAGAATGTGTTTATGATGCTTAAAAATATATACAGTATTATCATTATATATTTCTGATAAGCAAATTTGATTGCTTGCCTGAGATTGATTTGTAGCATGAGTGTTCATTTTTTAAAATCATGTAACTTATCTGCTCCCACATGTTGGGCTCGTAAAGGATAGTTCAAATGGCATGTAAACGTGGGAATCCTAAGTGGCCTTTATACGCATGTATAATTGAGGCAGCACCCTTTAGTAATTTTGCAGTAGTTATGCTTGTGATAAATGAAATGCATTGGAAATTTGAATGGTTGGTAAGCTGCTTGTTGAGGATGTATTGTGTTTAGACAAGTATCTTTGTCTGGAATTCCTTGTAACACCCTTGTTTAAGACTTGACATCCGGAAATGGGATGGGATTTCTTGTGGTTTGGATGGAGGATAGGAGAAGTGATCACCTGGTTAGTTGGGAGTTTTCTTTTTTTAGGTTCTCGTCTCTATTGTCTTTTTGGACTGCATGATGCTCCTGTAGTTGCATAATGCTTTTTATAATCTTGTCATTTCAAGTATTTGTATTTTATATGGCATTGTATATAGATAACTTATAAACCTTGTGTATAGTTGTTGTGAATGAGTGACCTGACATCTCCAGGCTAGCTAGAGTTTTATTGGAGTTCTTATTTCTAGCACTTGACATTTTTTTTTTTGAAAATTTTACCCGTTCATTCATTGTAAAATGTCTTTTCTATAATATGCTGCATGCTAGTTTTCATATATCAGCTTCACCACTACAACAAGACATAAATAACTTTTGCAGTTTGAATTTGAATTCTTCTCTTTCTTATTTCCTCTCTCTTCTATTGCTTAGCGATTGTTGTTGTTCTTGGTATTGTTCCCCACCACCAACATCATTGTCATTGTTGTCTGATTACTGACATTTGCTTGTATATTTCTTGATGCTCAAATTCTCAGTCAAACTCAGGGTTGCCTTCAACACATCATCGAAGGGTAGCCTGCTCCTTTAGGGATCAGTCGCTTTTTCAAATATTCCAAATTTCATTAACATCATTGAGTCAACTGAAAAGTGACGGTAATGATTTAATGTTCTTTTTCCCCTGCCCCCCAACCCACCACCTGTGTGCCACTTGTAGCTATTTCTTTATTAGTCATTCTGATATTTTACATCATGTCTGGTACAGTTACTGGTAGATTGCAAGAGTTGGCACTTTCTCTTTCGCTGAAATGTTTATCTTTTGATTTTGTTGGGACATCAATTGATGAAAGTTCGGAGGAGTTTGGTACTATTCAGGTTTTGATTACTTATTCTAGTAATGTATGATTTTTGTAATTGTAATTTCCTAACACTTGAATGTGATATATATGTTGTTTATGGATTGGATTGTTACAAGCAAATATGTGGTAATTCTGTAGATTCCGTCATCCTGGAGGCCTGTTTTAGAGGATCCATCAACATTGCAGATCTTTTTTGATTATTATGCCATTACAACGTCTCCTTGTTCAAAAGAGGTCAGTTGGTGTGTTTCTTCTTTTCCTATGATCCACACGTTATAAATGTTCATGATTGACCATCAGATTATTGACCATCCTCCTTAAAGCTCCTGTACCATTCTTCTTTATCTGCTTCATTTTGCAATAGCGTACCCACTTTAGCTGCTAGTCTTCGTTAAAAGTGTAAAATCTTGGTACATTGAATATATCTTTGTGGAGAAGCTCTTGAATTTGTCAATGTTTGTGTGTAAAATCTTTTGGGCCTGGGTGTATAGAGCCATGGGTTTCTAATTGGTCATGGTAGAGTAAGTTGAGGTGGAGTTGAATGTATTGACTCGTCATTTTTATTGATGATTTACTCAAAAAAGATATTTTGGGGTTGCATTCTGTTGTCTATTTTTGTTGAGGGAAACATATTTTTGGTTTTTAGGTGAATTCTGGGTAGGATGGTGGATTTGTTGACCATTTTCTTTGCAACTTGGGGAAGATCTTAAGATTTTATGGTGTGGCTTCATCTGTTATAGGAATGCTAGAATTTAAGGATTGGTTCCGTTCCTTGGGTCTTTGCATCTTTTAGGGGCCTTCATGGGTGTTGTTCTTGCTAGTATTTAGCAGGATCGGTGTCCGTTCTATATTGAGTTTGGTTTCTTGATCTTTTGTGTTGCTTATGGAGGATTATTTATTTATTTATCTCATCTTGTGTATTCTTCCCATGCTGATAATACATCCTTCTTTTACACACACACACACATGGTTTGGGGAGGGAAGCAAGGGAACTTCGAGCGAAGAATTTTTATTTACATCTTTTAAAGATGTTTGATCTTAAGCCTATAAATTGCTGGCTAACATGACAGCTTTTGCTAATTGGAAGGACTTCTTAACTATGCTGATTGTTAAATGATTTTGTAATTCTGTAAATAGTACATATTGAAGTTTTTCTAATCAGTTCATCTCGTTTTTTGTAGTAGCAGTACTTATATTGCTTTTTTCAATGGAAATTTACACTTCCAATGATAAAAAAAATGTTGGATTTAGTATCTGTTGTCTAAGGCTCAATTTCACCAGGAAGAGTATTAAACCGAAAAGAAAAAGGGAACTGAAAGATGCTGTCATGTATGTAAATGTAAATGAACATTGGAGGATTTTTTTTACCACGTATGTAGGCTTGTTTTTGTTGGATGTTACAATTCAGTCTTATTTTTTTTTCGTTCATTCATTATTTTTCTCTTTTACATGTGGATTTATACGTTTGTTTGCTGCTTTGCTCCTCATTGTTAGGGTTCTTATTGGTTTTCTTTCTAGGCACTGGAATGCTTGGTTCGACTAGCATCAGTACGGCGCTCTTTGTTCACAAATGATGCTGCCCGTTCCAAGTTTTTGGCCCATTTGATGACAGGAACCAAGGAAATTCTACAAACAGGACGAGGTGCTGTTACATTCTTCTTTTTCCTTGTACGGTTATTTAATTATAATATAATGCACATGCATTCATTTGGTTTTGGTTTCTTTGCTGTTACCTCCATTTTTTTGTTTTGGTTTTTTTTCTTTGGAGGATTTCTTGTTGTCCATGTAGATTTTGTATTTCTTTGGAGGGTATCTTATTATAATTTTGTTGTCTTAAAAAAATTCTAATGCATTTCTGTGTAGGTTCCTATTTTTGTTTTCCCCTTTTTGTTCGTCAGAATAAGTTTTAGGTTGGACAATTGACCACTGTTAAAGGTCTAGCTACTATTAGTTCATTGTGTAAACTTAGGGAAATGGACCTATATGATGCGGATTTGTATCAGTTGCAAGTTAAAGTATGCTTAAAATTTGCAATCTGTTTGTCTTGAGATTTCAATCATTCTTAGTTAGTGAATACTTCTTGTTAAACGGTTTCATTGTCTTTTTCTGCTTCCTCTTCCAATTCTGAAGGGATTTTGAGGTCAATGTGTCAATTTAGAAGTGTGTACATTATACATGAATGTGGTAATTTAGCTGTGCTGGGTGTAAACCTCAATCCTGTTTTGGGTTATGTAACCATATCTCCCAACTTTTAAAAATGTTGTCCATCCCCCCAGCTTGCTTTGCTTTTACTGACTGTGGTGTGATATGGTCGTTATTAGGTCTTGCTGATCATGATAATTACCATGAGTATTGTCGTCTTCTTGGACGTTTCAGAGTGAATTATCAGGTAAATTATTGTATTATCAGTTTTTTGACATTAGTCTTTTACTTGTCTTATCTTTTGTTTTCTTGTTCTGCATTTGCCCATGCTATTGGTTTTTAACTCATAGGTTTATTTGCATGAACACATTCACATGTCTGTAGAAACTACCACTTGATGTTATTCACCTGCAAACTTGTGTCATGTGCGTGGGATAGATTTGCTGGTGCTTTTTTTTATTTTAATAAATTCTAATCTTTGCAACCCCATTTTAATTACACTCTATCAAAATGGTTTCCTTTTACTGAAAATTCTATTGGTGGCATATATATTCATAGTTTTGCATGATGCTTTGTCATTGCGTTCAATCCATAAACCTGACTCCTTTTGAAACACACAAAATTTACTGCAGTTGTCAGAGCTTGTGAATGTGGAAGGCTACAGTGATTGGATCCAGTTGGTAGCAGAGTTCACTTTAAAGTCTTTGCAGTCTTGGCAGGTGGGTTGGTGTATATTGCTTGAAGCGTTTAAAAAATTAGTCATATCTGGCTTTCGTGATATATAACTGCATCTATGTTTAATAATGGGATGCCTGTTCCTTGCAACCATAATTATTTCATGCTTAAGTGCCTGAAACAATATGCTTGGGATCTATACTACATTTTTTTGCAACTTACTGCTGATTAAGTTTATGTCTTACCAGTGGGCCAGCAGCAGTGTATACTATCTTCTAGGGCTGTGGTCCAGATTGGTGACTTCTGTACCGTACTTGAAGGGCGAGGCGCCAAGTTTGCTTGATGAATTTGTGCCCAAAATTACTGAAGGCTTTATTACATCAAGATTTAACTCAGTGCAGGTCTGCTTTGTCTTTAGGATTGATAATCTGATTCTTCTTAAAATTCTACATAAAATGTTGAATTTCTGTTTGCTGCTCTTTTTCTGTAGGCTGGATTCACTGACGATGAAGATCCATTAGACAATGTCGAGCTTCTTCAAGATCAGCTAGATTGCTTTCCTTATCTTTGCAGATTCCAGGTCTAGTTTCTATACATAATATTTGATGGCCTCCCTGTCAGTTATCCAGCCGGGAGTTTTCTAGGTTTTGAAGTTCCTGGGGAAACTAATTTTAGTTTCCTGAATTGCATGTGTGCCAAACTCTTGATCTTACCAGCTGATCAGGGCTTGGAGTTTGTTATGATTATTTCTACCTCTTCCTTTTTTTGCAGTATCAAAGCAGTAGTTTTTATATAATAAACACAATGGAGCCTATTCTGCAATCATACACGGTATGATAAATGTATTGGATTAGATATTCTTTGCATGTTGAATATTTATGGAAACTAAATATGATTAATAAACTTAAACATTATTTTTCAATGGGGCTCACACAGGAAAGAGCACGATTGCCGACTGCCAATAACAAGGAGCTTGCTGTTATTGAGGCAAAACTTTCTTGGATTGTTCATATCATCGCTGCTATTCTTAAAATTAAACAGTCTACTGGCTGTAGGTAATTTTATTTTTCATTTTTCTTTTTTCTTTTTTGCATTTTTGTGATAGGAATAACATGCATATGTACTTGCAATTATCAATGAATTGGTTACGTTTATCTCATGCAGTGTGGAGTCGCAAGAGGTGCTTGATGCCGAACTTTCAGCTCGTGTTTTGCAATTAATAAATGTTACTGACAGTGGGATACATAGCCAGGTATACCAACAATAATGGCCTTTAATGTGAAGTGGAATATAGTGTCAAATTGCTTATCTTTTTTCTCGTTTTCAGTTTAAACAGTGTATGAGATATGCTGTTTTTTTTTTTTTTTTTTTTGGCTTTCACACAGCATTGGTATGCAATCTTTAATGATTGCTGCTTCATGTTATCAATTCGAGTATTATTTATTCATACAGCATTCATACTCCATATTCGTGTTTGAATCACTCTAATGTATGTTTATTAATTTCTAAATCTAATTTTGATTATTCGATTTGTTAGTCCTTTCATGGTTTGTTTGTGTTAAAAAATTGATTAAGTTGGTTGGAGCTTTTTTTCTGAGATGCATGGGAGTACTACTTTGTTATTGTTATTTGAGTTGATTTGAAGTGTCATATATTTTAGAAGCAATGTGGCTTACATCTTATCTTCTGGTTCTTGAAAATTATTGCTGAATCAGAACTGTATAGTTTCATGGATGTTGAAATGTTAATTTCTGCAGCTTAGGTGTGCATAACATCTCCCAAACCAGAAGACAATACTGCATTATTGGATATTGACCTGTTTTTAACTTTATACATACATGCACACACACATGCAAGCATCTCTCTTTTGGTTTAAAAAAAATGATCTACTCACTAGGAGCTTATGATTTGCGCAGAATTATTCATCAACCCATTCTCATATTTTGCTTCTATAAAATTGCTTTGAGGCACGTATTTAGTTGAGATTTATATCAAAGACCAATATATTAGTGTCAAAAAATAACAGCAGCACGACATGGATAAAACCGCAAGCATACCGACAATCATTAACTCTTCTTACAAGCCCTTTGGTTGTCTCTTCCTGAACTTTATTACAACTTGCCTGGCACCCTTCTCGTGTTGACTTGAATATTTGTCACTTTTGACCTTTTTCCTTATAATGTGGTCAGGACGTCTTCATTGTATTTGAGTTTATTACTTTTCCACATGCCAGAAATGAGCCTTGGCATAGACAATGTTCTTTTATGTTTGCTTATTTTAAAAACTTTGTCCTGCCATGGAACTGGTTTTGGAGGCTGAAATTTTCTCATTTCTTCATATTAGAGATTTCATGTTACAAACCAATGCTATAGTTTATTGGAGGCTGAAAATGCATCATTATTGGCAACTTCTTGCTGGCATTTAAATTTGTTAATTTTTTGCTGTCATGTGGTATTTGCATATGGGGAGATGGGTTATTGTAGTGTCATTATTCGCTCTGGAATCTTAAGCAATTGGGAGATAGGATCCCTTCAATAAACCCCAACCCCACACCCCCACAACCCGCCCCCCCGCCCCCCCCCCGCCCCGCAAATGTTCTCAAAGAGGCTTGATATGGATAACATGGTTCACCACTTATTTTATGAAACTTAGCAACAATATTGTGTCAGTGTTCATTCCCGAGCTCAAAGTTACTGTTATGTCTATTCTTTTGGTTATCAATTTATTAATAACACTTGATCTGTCGAAGGTTTTGTTTGTAACTGTAGTTACTACTATATGCTTGAAGTTACACATAACTTTGCATAGGTGCATATTTACCTTTTCCTTTTTGTTTTGTTAAGAGAAGAATTGTCTTTATATTATTTATTTTTTTCTCCTGAAGGCTATGAAGAGAGATCCTTATTAATTGCTGGTCTAAAAAGCCTTTTCCTTTCCCTCTCCATGGTCATACATTTTTGGTTCCATTATCTCTATACTAAGTTCCACCAATTTCTTTATAACAACGTTGGCACTGCTTTTATTTGTATACTCATTACCCTCGTATTTAACAGAGGTATGGTGAATTAAGCAAGCAAAGACTTGATCGAGCAATTCTTACCTTCTTTCAACATTTCCGTAAGTCTTATGTTGGTGATCAGGCTGTGCACTCATCTAAGGTAATGAGGTTGTTATTTTTCTTCATTATAAGCTTTGCACGTGTCTATATTCTCAAGTCTTTCTCTTTGTGCTGCAGCAGCTATATGCTCGTTTGTCTGAACTTCTTGGACTCAGTGATCATCTGCTACTATTGAATGTGATTGTTTCGAAAATAGCTACAAATTTAAAGTGTTATACAGAGGTGAATGCTTCATTCTGGATTTTTCCTTGATTTTTGTTCATTATGTTTTTTAGAAAGTTTTTGTCATACCTTCATTTGTGCTTGATTTAGAGCGAGGAGGTCATTAATCATACCTTAAGCTTGTTCTTGGAGCTGGCATCTGGGTTAGTATATTGCTTCCTTTTTTAGCTGAAAGTAGTAGAGCTAGTTGTAATGTTTTGACAAAGTTAGTTTGTTTTCATAAACAATGATTGCTTGTCTGATTGATCATATTTCATTTATTTATTTGATTACCTTTTTTCTTTAGGTATATGACTGGAAAGCTGCTTCTGAAGCTGGATGCTATCAAATTTATAGTTGCCAACCATACTGTAATTCCAGTTCTGACAGATTTTTTGCTTAACGATTCTTCTTTTAATTTGTTCATTGAAATCATGATGTGCTATTAATATTAAATATTTTTTTTGAATTTTTAGAGGGAGCATTTTCCTTTTTTAGAAGAGTATAGAAGCTCTCGTAGCAGAACAACTTTCTATTATACTATTGGCTGGCTAATATTCATGGAGGATAGCCCTGTGAAATTCAAGTCTTCAATGGAACCGCTTTTGCAAGTACTCTCCATACCCCCTTGTAAAACATGTTTCTAGAATGTTGTCAATGCCTCGGAATGAAAAAAGCTTTTTTCGTAGGATTTCACTAATTACCTAAATAACGTTTATGGTGTTTCAGGTTTTTATAAGGTTGGAATCAACTCCTGATTCAATGTTTCGGACTGATGCGGTGAAGTATGCGCTAGTCGGGTTAATGAGGGATCTTAGAGGAATTGCCATGGCCACAAATAGGTTGGTATATATTTAGGTATGAGGTTGTTTATTAATGAAATGTTAGGTTTCATGTGCTTTCTTTTGCTATCTTTCAGTCGAAGAACATATGGGCTTTTATTTGATTGGCTGTATCCTGCTCACATGCCGCTTCTCTTGAAAGGCATCTCACATTGGACAGACACACCAGAGGTATGAACATATGAAAGATATTCAAAATCTTAGGAGCCATGTTTTATCATGATTTATCTAATTCTCACCTTGTTTAGAATCTTATTTTGAAACCTTTCGTACTATCTTCCATGGAAATTTTTAGTCGAAGCTTTAGCATGTTTTCTGAGCCAATGGCTACATTATCTGCTGCAATAATGTGCTGGAAGAGAGCATATGAAATGTGACTTTACCAATCTTCTTGTATTATAGATTGTTAGTCTAGTTTCTTTGTTTCCTATATAGAGATGTCATTATTGGACTTGGTGCTGCAGGTCACCACCCCTTTATTAAAATTCATGGCTGAATTTGTGTTGAACAAGGCCCAACGTTTAACTTTTGATTCGTCATCTCCTAATGGCATTCTCCTTTTCCGGGAAGTCAGCAAATTAATTGTAGCCTATGGAACAAGGATTTTATCTCTTCCAAATGTTGCTGATATATATGGCTACAAATACAAGGGGATGTGGATTTGCCTAACTATTCTCTCAAGAGGTTGACATATGACCCTCTTATTTTTATTAATTTGTGGATTGTATGTTGTGATTGTTGAAAGGTGCTTGGATTTTGTTTACTTGCCTTTTGCCTCGAGTTTGTTGCTGGTCATTTATATCTACTTGATTAATTTTTGTATACAAACCATTCTTAGAGAAGCTTTGGAGGTCCATTGGGCTAAAGAATCATGCATGCATACGCCTGAAAACATGGTTATAGAAACCAGACAATTTCTACTGTCTACCCCTTTATGCATTTGCTTGAAAAGAACTCTTCTTGCTATCTATCAGTTTTCCATAGTTGTTTAATGAGACTGGGTGACTTTATGATTAATCCTACTTTGATTCATTTGCATATTGTTTTGTGGCATTTTTAATTTATATTCTGATTTTATATTCTTTGTTGCAAATGTGCATTTCTTATTTGAATGTTAGGAATGGCAGTAAGTTGAGTCAATTGATGAATTTTTGCTGTTCATTTGTTTCATTACTGGTTGAATAGTCACTGAACTTCAACTTCTAAAAAAATATATCTTATGTGTTGATGTTCTTGTGTTTGCAACTTATTGGCAGCTCTTGCGGGAAACTATGTCAACTTTGGTGTCTTTGAACTTTATGGTGATAGAGCACTCTCTGATGCACTTGATATTGCTCTAAAGATGACATTGTCAATCCCTCTGGCTGATATATTGGCATTTCGAAAGGTATGTAGGACTTCTTGGCTGCCAGTCACACTCCATTGATGTTTTCCTGCAGCATGTATTTCTCTACGTTTCCTATTTTTTTATTGATGTGTGTTTGTTCAGTTTTTTTTTTCCCTTGTAAGGTTTAGTTTTGTATGTACACATATGCTTGTGTGTTTGCATGTCTTTTGCCGTTAAGGACTTAGGGACTCTATTTCACTATGATTTAAGCACACCTTGTTTTGGCAATATTTATCTGGTTGTTGAGGTGGTTAATTTAGTCAAGACTGAGTTGATTCTTTTAGATGGTGGGGCTCCCTGGAATGTGTTGGCTAACATATTGATGCGAGGTTAGAGGTTTGAGAAGTTGCAGGTTGGTGGAGTAATTATCTGTTTTAGGGAAGAAAGGCTGACATGTACGAAGAGCATGCTTTCTAATTTTGTGTATTTCATGTCTGCCATCCCGCTGTTCGTTATTCTAGCAAAGAAGGTAGGAATGGACCGAAGGTAGCTTTCTTTGAAGAAGGGTCGTATAATGATTTTAATGTCATTTGGTGAAAATGGACCTGTTAATTTTTCTCTTGGTACAGGAGGTTTGGTAATCAAATTCCCATGCCTTTGATGAGAGTGTACTTTGAAAATGGATCCAGGTATTTATGTTGGAGAGGGATCATATCTGGAGCAAGGTTATTCAAGTCAAATACAGGGAGGAACATATTTTGGAAGTCATAGGAATTAATAGATCCTTATGATGTGGGAGTGTGGAAATTTGTTGGGAAGGAGCAGAGACTTTATGTTTAATGTGAGATTTCTTGTGGGCAATGCTTGTCCACTCCTTTTCGGTATGATTGTTGGTTTGGCAAATTACCACCAAAGGTTCAATTCCTGGATCTCTTTTTTTCAAGTGGGGATTGGATATATCTAGTTAAGCGGGATAGGTAGGTCGTCCCTTACACTTGGAATGTGTCAAATAGAGATTCGTAGAGAGGTTTAAACTCATCAGAAGGGGTATTTATATGAGTGCTTGTTCAGGAGTCCAAGAGTTTTATAAAATGTTCTTGATGGAAAGAGATGTTAATGAAAGATCCCTCTAAGAAGAGTTGGAGAGTAATGGAACTAATTCTCTTTCAAGGTTTTTGCCAGCGAGAGGCTACTTGGTTAAGATTGTGACTGTTGAAAAATAGAAAAGGCAAATCTATTTTATATATGCAATGTGCAGTAGAACTCTTTTGCTGCTTTGTTTCTTGAATATATTTTTGTGGAAGCTGGTGTATGGAGTTGTGGTTGTCATTTTGGTTATTTTAGACTTTATGAGGTCAGGGTGTTTGCAGCAGGATTAGTAATCTGTGATATAAGTTGAATCTGCACATTTCTGGCTCAAATATTCTAAGTTCTAATCCAGTTGGATTAGAACAGTATATTCTTGCTCAAAGTTAGAATTGGATTGCTCTTCCTCAATATTCTCATTCAATATTCTCATTGCTAGATGATCAGATTAGAGCTAGACATTTTTTGCTCACGCTTAAATAGTTTGCAAATTTAGATGATGACATGGGGGGACTTGGTGCATTATTTTATATGTACCTTTTGTACTCGGTGATTGTTCAGCACCTCCATGGTTGATGCAGACAACAAATCAAGTGAATTTCTTGTATTTTTATGTGATTTTTCTAAGATAGGGTAATTTCCATATTGGCTGAAATTCCAAGGTGTTATTTTTATTTGATATTTTACCTGTCCTAAAATGTTAGGGTTATTTGGGTCTTCCTATTCTAAATAGGAGTGGTATATTTTCTTGTTTAGGAGTCTTGAATCTTTGTCGGATGAGGTATGCAACTGTGGCATCACTTTACTAGGAGTACATTGAGTCTATGAATACGTATGCCTTTAGTGCTCTGTTTTTAGAAAGAGTTAAGGAATGAATTTCACAGCAATTATGCTTTAAAGTTGTGTGATGCAATCCATCTTAGGTATTTGACTCTTAAGAATCCTTTGCTTGATGTTTAGATGTTCCTTCTTCCAGTTGTGGTTCCTAGAAACCTGCTAGCGTGACTCTATTGTGGCCATATGCACATGTTTGCATGTGCATTTTGCCTTACTTTTTTCTTTTATATTTTCAGATTCCATTTTTTGTTATCAGCATTTTATTCTTTTTTGTCCCTATTGTTGCTGATGCATGATGCATAGCTTGCCATTAGGTGTTTGGTTGATCCTCCTGTCAGTTTTGCTGGCTTCTCTGTTTTTCCACTTCTAATAGTAAGTTTGTGTATTTTTGCATTTCTTTGCAGCTAACAAGGGCTTACTTTGCGTTCTTGGAGGTTCTATTCAGCAGCCACATTGTTTTCATATTGAATCTGGATACAAACACCTTCATGCATATTGTTGGTTCCCTGGAATCAGGTCTTAAAGGTCTCGATACGAATATCTCATCACAGGTATGTCATGCCAATACTGCAGATGGTATCACTCCTCACACTAGTTTACCCTGTCATTTATGCTTGGTGATTAACATGCTAACGCTCACCTGACATATCTGAATGAGATAACATATATACTTGATTTGTTTTGCTGATTCCCTGCATTTAAGCTAAAAGCTGAACTTTTCAGTGTGCATCTGCTGTTGACAATTTGGCTGCTTACTATTTCAACAACATCACAATGGGGGAGACACCCACTTCACCTGCTGCAATTAATCTTGCTCGTCATATTGCAGACTGCCCCAATTTGTTTCCAGAGGTTAGTCAGGCTATTCTTTATTATAGTACAACTCCCTGACATTATTTGGAAGTCTTGTGTGGTTAAAAAAGGCCGACATAAGTTTCTTCTTCTGAAGTGTTCTTGATGGTATAGTACCCCCCTTCCTGCCAAAGATTGTTCACTTATCTCTATTTGGTGAATTTTTGATGTTGATTTCTGAGTTTTTCTTTTATCGACGAGAAATATTTTAGATGTCAGTTTTGCATGGTCATAGAAGCTTTAATTTTCCTTTTCCTGCTGTGATAAGAGTTTGCTGTGATGGAGTCATAAGGACAGAAAGAGGGTGGATGGATAACTATTTACTGTTGTTTGGAAGCAAGGAAGAGTAGAAAATAAAGGATAAGAAAGGAACATTCACAAGTTATTCACTCAAGAACCTTTTTTTGTTTTCTTTCGGAAAAAATAAGGTGAATAAGGCAGAGAAAATGGCGTTCTAAATTATTACTTTGTATTCCTATTTTTTCTTGAACGCAACAGAGGATAACTCAGTCTGAGATCATTATCTTGCATGTTTTTTGTTAGTTTCAGTGAGCCACTTTCTTTTATTCTTCTTCGTTACATTTACAGAATAAACAGTTCCTTTTCTATTCTGAGGTTTTAGACTTATTTTTCGTATTGCTTTCTGACACAACTCCTCTAGTAATTGTTACCTATCGCCCAGGTTTACATGACTCACAGGCTGCTGTCTTTTACTGCTCTCGCTTGGTCTTTACTCTGTTGGTGTTTTGACCTTAGCAATTGATGTATGCATCGATTAAAGAATTTTTATTTTTTGCTACCTAAGTTCTTATCAATTGCATATTCAAGTGATAAACATCCAACATCTGACATCTTTCCTAAGTGGAATCATCTGTTATATTTCAATGCCTGTTCAGTGCAAACTCCTTTTCGCATGTTTTGACGTGAATGAAATCACTTTTTTTTTTTTTTTCCAGCTGTCGACCATGTCCTCTGACACCAAGTATATAATTCATTTAGCATGCATTGTCTTTTGGAGCTTTCTTCTGATTTGCTTAATTTTGTATAATTTTAGATTTTTTTTTTCATGCTGTCATTTTTGCTGGTCGAACACTTGGGTAATTTGAATAGTTTCCTTGTATTTACAGCTGCTGAAGACTCTGTTTGAGATTGTTTTGTTTGAGGACTGTGGCAACCAGTGGAGTCTTAGTAGACCCATGCTGAGCTTAACTATCATTAGTGAGCAGGTAATAATCAATGGCAGAACCTTATTTAGCTGTTGATAGTTGTCTTCTCCATACTCAATTGCTTTGAATAACAACTTTTATTTTGGGTTCTCTTATTATTTGACAATAGTAAGTTAACATGGTTGTGGCAATTCATATATTTGATTTGGATAACTTTGGATCTTCCTTTGAGTTGCTTGTTTAGCAACAGAGTTTGTACTGCTCATTTCTTTTTAATATTTATCTGAAATGAGCACTGTTCACTTGCAGATATTCTCTGATTTGAAAGCTCAAATTTTGGCTTCACAGGTAAAATATTCACTGCACTTTATCATAAAAGATCTTTTTTCTTTAAATTTTTAAACAAATTGTAGTTACTGTCTCTAACTGGTTGTACAACTATGTATTTTAAAGAGTGATGCTAGTTCTTAAAATTGTATAAGAATGAGTTTCAAATATACACTTTAGCCATTAGATTAGTAGGACCCACCACCGAGTCCCAAATTGAGATCATCATCCAATGGCTCACATCTTCTTGAAACTGATTCTTGTTCTTTTTTCTTGTTACGGATCATTTCTCTGTTTTAAATAGGACAGTCATTTTGTTTTAAGTTTGTATTGGTTATACTGTTTTTTATTGCTTGTTAACTCTATTTGGTTAGAACTAAAATAATATGACAAAGCTAGAGAGTTATTTATTGCACACAGCTAACACCTGACCCACACCAATAGCCCTGTCTCCTAGCCCCCTCACCAAAGAAATAGAAATAATTTGGAAAGGCTATTTTGTGAGTTATTATTTTGGTGCCCACTTAGTTACATTTATCTTTGCTAATGAGGCCCTGAGATAGATGATACTTTTAATATCATGTGCTGCTACTTTTATTTGGTCACATGCCCTAGGTATACAAGTTAAGTGTTTTAGTTCTAGTGCCTGTGTACTTGTTATCCTCTGTATGCATCAAAATATTGAACAATTGTATTTGTGTTCTTGTGTGATTTTTCCTCGGTCTCGAACTCAAATCATTTTTTTAAATGATGTTATTTTAACAGCCAATGAGTTGAATTTATACTGAAAATTGCTTAGGAAACCCCATAACCTTGAAGTTATGCATCATAACATTTTGCTGGGCAGGTAAAGTTGACAGGGAATAAATTCCAAATAACTGTGTTGTTATGTAAACATAATTTATTACAGGTCAAATTTACACTGAAAATTGTCCCCAGAAGTAGCAGCAATGAAGAGGACTTGCACTTGGCACTTCAGTTAGTTGTTTGCTTTTGGTGCATGCTCTGTTAATTAAATGCTCAAATTTATGTTTGATAGGGCTTAGAAGCTGGTAAAACCCCTCTTCTGTCCAGAGGTTATGATAAACCTTTTTGACCAATGATTACCTGTCAGCCACAACTGCTCATAGTTTCTGGTGACTAGGTGTTGATAGTCGAATTGTTGACAGTCACGGTCACATGATATTTTAGTTTCATAGAACTCGTGCAGTCACAGAGTTATCTATTATGAGTAAACAGGAGGTTGCATTTTGTTGTGGGGTTGAGCTTTAACCGTTGAAACTATTGTACATTAATGGTGCTTTTCTATCGTATATTATGCTGCCTTCTGTTTCTAAAATGCCATCCTTCTGCTGACACTTTCTTTGCATCATCTTGCAGCCTGTGGATCATCATCAGCGGCTTGCCCTTTGTTTTGACAAACTGATGGCAGATGTTACTCGAAGCTTGGATTCAAAGAACAGGGATAAATTTACTCAGAATCTGACGGTTTTCAGGCATGAATTTCGTGTCAAATAGTTCTGATCCCTTTGCTTGTTGCTGCTTTGCTTTAGGGACTGAATTACATCTGCAGAAGATTTTGATTTGAAGAATTGCCATACACATACTTCATACACAGTTGTACACAAACACATGGTTTTGTTGCTCATGCCTCATTGACCAGAGAACATGTTTCTTCTGCAGTATTTAGATTTTGTTACCCTAATCATGTGAAGCAGATATTTTGTAAAAACCAAATGTCTGCTATGGAGGTGTTGTATGAATTTTTTTCTTTTTTGTATAGACCCTCCCTCCTCTAAAATGTTTTTAAGAGGGATGATACTAGAAATTTAGATAGGGTGCTATGCCAAGGGGGTTATCAAAGGCGTGAAGAAGGTGGGTGATGGTGGTGGTTTGATAGTTAATTTTAGGGTATCAATTCTTTTTAGAACAAAGATGTAAATCATTCATGAGGTTCCCTTGGGTGTTTTAGAGGTGGGTCAGTTTGGAAATAGATTTTTTGTACATGAGCCCCTACATAACATATTCATTGTATTTGTTGATAATAGAAAGGAAAAGGGATGAAATTTCAGTCATTCTTGTTTTCCCTTCCTTTCATGGAAATTGTTTCCTTTAGCACTACTGTCGCGGTAAGCCTGGTAAGCCACTAATTTTTCAAATTTTCTACGTTTTCTGATTCAGTCGTCTATGTATATATATATATATATATTGCTGCTATTGCGCAGGGGTTCATGCCCATGAGGCGTGTTCAGTATCTAGTCTATTATGGCTGGTTGGTGATTGCCACTATATGCCGAAGTGGAGGACAGTTTATTTATTTATTTATTTTTTTTGGAATCGAATGTAGATATTATATTTTCCTTTCAATTCCTCGTTTTCAATTTTTAATTTCTTGGACGTGATTTTTTTGGTCCATCCCTCGCCCCGCATGGAGCATTTCTGTGGCAAGGTATAATGGTGGTTAATTAATGGTGGCATCTTTAAGGTGTTCGGTTAGATGACAAGCGGGTTTATGTTATCATCTGATATTGAATCCAATCAGAGGTTTCTTGATCAATGAAAATTTGTACGAGGAAACCGTGACTGTCAGCCAAAGAGACTTGTACTCTAAAAAGGAGACCACTGTGCAAAAGTTTCCGAAGCTGAGTAGTACAGAATGATCATAACTTGAAATTATTACGATCCATACAGGACGGACAAAGCTTGACATATCATTTATAACCACTGCATTAGTACAGTAACTACTGACAAAAGGATTTGACGAGTAAGCGTAGTTAAAACCTAAAGCTAAGGATTAAGATGTTGCAGGTAATACGAATATGGGCCAAAAAGCCTGGAAAAAATTTGGATTTCAGCGTAAGTCAATAAATGTAGTTGCGCACGAAAATTCAAGCATGTTACATTAGAATAACAGAGAAGGCTCCGGTGAGTTATTGTTGTTCACAAGGAAAAAATTATGTAAAGAAAGTTATGCAAGGAGTGGAAGAAACCATAATCGCACTTCGGAGGCAGCGATCACCTGATCCAAGACCCTAGGACCAAGCATTCATGCATTCTCAGGAAGACCACATGCAGGAAACACTCTTACAGGCACTAGTGTAAATGTGTAACACTAAATCCAAGAAGGGTAAATTTGCAAAAGCAACAACGTGGAGTATGTCCACCACCCAAGCTCCTGGTCTGCCACCTATAATTTCGCCTCTCCTCAGAAAGCTTTCGAATCCATGGATGCTTGGCTCGACCATGCATATTACAAATAAAGTTGACTTTGCATATATACAGAAAGAAGGATTATCTTTGTGTTGATTGATTCCTTCTACAGGATGTCAGACTTGAGGGAGTTCAATCTGACCGCTTCTCTGCAAGTTGATTGTTAAGAAATTCCAGCACTGAAAGGCGCTGCAGTTGGAAACTAATTGTCAGTCGCTTAGGATCTAGATTCCAGATAATTATGATAGTTTACAGGTACCCATAGAAAGCCTACCCGTTGCTCAAGACCAGCTTCTTCAGGTTTTAATGTCAAAGTTTCCAACAATTTTATGGCCTCGCGAAATCTATCAAGTGCAGCATCCTCATTACCAATACTCCTGTCCACATCGGCAACTTTTGCAAGGGAAACAGCCACATCCAGAGTCTGTAATTGAAACATAAAAAGAGAATATTAACTGCAAAGGAAGCCTGCAAAGGAAGCCTGGAAATACGAAGCTTCTCAAACAAGCATAAGCACGCATGTTGTTTTATCATGTCATTGTGCATTGGAAAGAGGAATATTCAACATCAGCTTGAAAACTTAAACTAAAACTTTCTTTTCCTAACAGGCCTCATTTCCTATGCTTTCTTAAATAAGGCCAGCATGCAGAGAAAAATACTCTTTATAGAATCATGCAAAAATTTTCAAGGAAATTCTCAAAACTGAGAGGCCATGAACCCCTCATTGCTATACAAGACTCGACCTCTGAGTCACAAAACAGATCACAAAGTATAAACAGAGCATGATAAATGATACTAACAAGGGAGATGGCAAAAAGGAATGGATGCTGACCTGGGATGAAACACTAGGATGATGTTCGATGGCATCACGTCGCACATTGAGAGATCGGATATAATAAGATCTTGCAGCTTCCAGATCTCCATCATAATATTTGAGATCTCCAATTTTATTAAGTGAAACAGAAAGTGTATGCGTTATCTGTATGGGAATAAATCCAAAAAAATTAGGGTTGGCGGTATAAAATCACGTTTAGAACAAAAGGCAGCAACACGTGTGAAATTTTAACCTCCAGATCAGCTGCAGGCAATTTTGATAGGAATTCTACACTCTCTTCAAAGTATGTAACTGCAGAACCAGCATCCCCCATTGCTCGACTGCGTAGACATGATAAACAGAGACTTTAGTCACAGTAAACTCATAAGGACTCCACATCCATTACTTTGGAAGAAGACAATGAAGCCCATATGAATGTTTTAAGAAATCAGCAAAACCTATTTTTTACAATAGATAGACTCAGATATCTAGGTTGCACATCCTTAAAGCTATTTTTTACACTATCAGATTCCTTTGTCTACTCAAGCATGTGATAATCCTTTTTGAGTGTGACAAAGATGACCCAAACTTAGTAACTACTAGTTCAACCGTGCAAACCATGCTGCAAATGTTCTTACAGCTACAAGTCAGCAACCTCAACAATTTCATCTATGCAAACCATGGTGCAGAGTGGCATTGCAATAACAATTCAGCAACTTATAATCAAATTGTCCATCATATCACTGTTTCTGGAAAATGAAAAGCTACTGTTTGAAGTTATACATTTCTCTCTTTAGGAATACCTGGATAACAGCTCTGTGTCTTGGTTGACAGCACAACCCATGGAATGAACACTTGTAGTAAACGAATATTGTTCAATTATTTCATCCTCTATTGAAAAGTGCAAGGGTTCTTCAACTTCTTTTAATAAAAAATGTGATACGTAGTTTTCAGAAACATATTTTCAGTCCATCAAGGTTTTAACCATGCAAGGAATGTCCTTATGAAGATATCTTTTTTTGTAAGCAATAACTAAATCTAATAGTTAGATGCTTATTAAAGAAAATCTAAATAAATATATGAACCTCAATAAATATATGATCATATTGAAATTAAAAAAAAAACTTGTTTTCGCCTGCCCCAATTCCTTTTCAATGTCTCCACTCAATTCAACTACATCTTAATACCAAACCAGAATTGTGTTTCCCTTAACTTTGTCCCAAACTAGTTGGAGTTGGCTATAGAATCCTTAATCTCAATTCGCTAGGCAAGTTCATATGTTGCTGTTTAATTGTCATTCTACCATTGTCCTTGGACATCATATGCTTACTCCAGCAAGATTAACATTTGAAACACAAGAGCTTGCAGCATATGATAAGTTACTAACAACAAACTACAAAAAAAGAGAGATGGCAGACCAGCAGTCCCCAAGCATTCCCAGCACTGCTCCAAGCTGTGAACACAATTCCGATGTGTTGCCCGCTGTTTCTATCTGACCTCGGATGTCTTCGGCACAAAGACTCAGTCTTGATTTAGCACTTTCCACATTCTGGGCACGAAATGCCTACAAATGGAAAGCCAAAAACTACGAGAACAATTAACTAGAAATTGCAATAACAACTAATTAGACATCAACCAAGCACATAAAAGACAGTTAAGAATGAGTTCCAGGCTGGAGAAAAGCAGGAGAATAGAAAGGAAATTTACGAGAAGCTTTCTGGTGGTATAGAATACCTTGAAAATTTTGATGAGATAATTGTAGCTAAAACAAAATAACAATGTTGATCGAAAAAAGATTGGTTGAGTATTCCACTCCTATGGATAATGCCAAGGAACCTAAAAATGACATCTATCAAAAGAAAAATAGAAACTTAGCAATGTCACGATATAATAAACTAAACTCACCCTCATGGCTTGTTGCACCAAGAAAGCACCTCTCTCCAAAGAAACATCCTCATATATCACTTTTTTATTCTCACCTACTTCCCCCTCTTTATCCGTGTCAACACGAGACCTCTTGATTCTAGCATGACCATCAATGAACCGATCAACTACACTCTGGAGATCCGTATCAGCTTCAATCTTCTCAATATCAGCTCCACACAACGGACAGTCCTTAAATCGCGAAATACACACTCTAATCCAATAAAAGAAACCAATTTACAAACATTACACAAACCACCATAAAGCACAAACAAAAGCAAACAAACATCACAACCTAGATTTTAATTCTATCATCTCCTTACTTGCAATATACATGAGAACAAGGCACGCATTTGCTACAGTCAAACAGAAGTGCTTGGCATATCATACAACTAAGAGGTCCCAATTTAAATGTTTGAGAATCGTATCCAAGTGGGCATTTAGGCGAAACGGTAGCAGATTCGCCGCCAGACTCTTTCTTTGCCTCGCCTCCTCCTTCATGCTCGGCCGCGTGTTTATTCGTACACTCCCCTGGTTTTCTTGATGATCCATCATCAGGCCTTGAAGCTTTCACAAATGGGCAAACTGGGGTCATCTTGGAAAATCAAATTCTGCATCAAAAAACACATCAACTTCACCAAAAATAAAACATGGGTTTCAACCAAATTGAATCCAAACTGTTAAAAACTCAACAATTCTCATGAATCTTCAATTAACATAAGGAGAATTTACAATTTAACGTGTATGATTATCTAATCAGATTTTGAAAGAAATATAAAGGGAGAAAAAAGAGAGAAATAAAATACCGGAGTTAGAAGTGACACTAAAGGTTGATAGTTCTTTTTTTGTTCTTCTTTGTGCTGCTTTCTCTTTCTGTTTCGCACACCGCAAAAATCTACCCGATCGTCTTGAGAATAGGAATGGAAGATGTCAGCTTCATTTATTTATTTCTAGTATTTTCATTTACTTTTGTGTTGTTTTGTTTTTGTTTTTAAAGAACAACTACAAATCAATATTCAAATATTGGACACTGTTCTGTTTTGGTATTCAAAATATACAATATTCCAATTATCCTATCAACCTTTTTATTAAAGTTATAATTAGAAATGTTTGGCCAGAATTTATATATCTCATACCAGCGTTTCTTTCTTTTTACACTTTTTTTAATATATATATATATATATATATATATATAAAAGAGATTCAAACTCCATATTTTTTTAAAAGATTATTAAAAAAAAAAAAAACAAAACTTACTATGTTCTTATAAACATTGAAGATGTATGTTCATTTATTTAATAATATATATTTTTTATCAATGAGTGCATAATGATTTTTTTTTTAGTAAAAGAAATGGTAAATTCTTAGATTGAAGTTCTATTTCTATTAAAAAAAGATTGTGCAAAATTATTATTGCATGAAAAGAGGTTATTTGTTTGTATGCGGTAAAGTTTTTTTTTGTCTAATAACAAAAATAGAACATTATAGAATAAGTAAACATAATTTATCCATAACAATGATAAAATAAAAATTTTGAAAATATGATACCACATGTAAACTTATTTGAAATAATTTAAGGTTGTTAATTATCTATAAATAATACATGTGAAATCTAAAATTTTAAACAAAACAAAATTATCTTTAGAATACTAAATGCTAAATTATTTTTTGAATTTTTAAAGAATTTAGGAGAAAATATAAAATTTTTGTAAATCAGGTATATTCCAAGAACAATAAGGAATCCTAAAACATCTCAAGCGGTGTTATTTTCGTTAAATTAGACCGATGGAGGTGAGGGTTGTATCTAATTTGTTAATGAAATGGCTTGTTTTGTAGTTTGAAGACTGGATTAGAATAATGCTAATAGTTTGGTGACTAACTTGTAATTATACCCATTTGAAGGAAAATAAATTGATTTGATCAAATTTAAAGAAAACGAATTAATTTGATCAAACTTACAAAGTTGAGGTAGCACACATGATTCTTAGTCTTTCAGCTACGGCACGTGACTAGCCAAGGGAACGAGCGTGGTGGTTTGTGGTTTGTAGCGAGATGGTTGGCTTAGGAAGTGTGACTACCAAGGACCGGACACCGTCTGCCACCGACATGTAAGGCATTTGTGCCCGCGTGAATCCGACGGCTGATAAAATCGCCACGTCGCTTCCACCTCACTTGTTTTCAAATATCTTTTTTGCGGGTTGGACTATTTTGTAAATGTGGCAGTCTCAAGCCTTCCTTTGATGAGCTTCTTTGAGTTACTTCAATATTTGGGCTTAATTTTCTCTATTTCATTTCTATATTTTTAGGCTTGGGCTTTGGCTCTTATACGCACAACTGCCTTCTTTCATGGGCTTCTTTGAGTGTTTCAAACTTTGGGCTTAATTTTCTCTATTTCCTTCATATTACTAGGCTTGGGCTTTAGCCCTTGTATGCTCCACTGTTTAAGGCTTTTTATATATATTCAGATTGTATATTTATTTATAACAACATCAATTCATAAAATCAAAAATGAAAAACTAATTTTTATCTTTTTTCTGTACTTTTTTTCATTCAATAGGAGACCCATAAGTTTATGGTTAAGTATTGAAGGATATTTAACTTTTTTTTTTTTTTTTTTCTGTAAGTGATAATCTTTAATCTAAACCACTGAATATGCAAAGTAATTAAAAATTTCAGATGTTTTTTTAACACAATGAGTTTAAATAGTATTCCACGCAAGAAAAAAAAATCATAATTAGTCCCTCAGGTTTGTAGTGATAGATAATTATGTTTTTCTAGAAAAAAAAAAACCCTTTTTGCACAAGATGTTAATTTGCCTAATAAGTGGTTGTTCATTATTAGCCTTAAAAAAAAATATTTCTTACCAGCAAGTTGTTAGTCTAATAATAAATAAGTTGATACGCATATTAATTTTTTATTAATATCCAACGCTTGAATTTTGAAGTTGTTTGAATTGAAAAATGTTAAATTTTATTGTTTTTATTTTGAATATTATTATTTCTATCTTCAATATAAGATGATGAGAATATTTTTTAAAAAAAAAAAGAAGAAGAGGAAAACGTTATTTCTTGGACTCAAATGCTAAAGCCTAAAGATCATAATTAAGATGCTGCCTATTGTTAATTTATATAAAGGCCGATGGCATATGATTGTGAGGATATGATACAGTGGGGTAATCTATGCTAAATAGCTGCTAACCACTTCAAAGAATCCCTCGTTAATTAAAAGGAATAACATGAGTGAAGAAGAAGCAAGTGCACACAGAGATCTGTGCATTATTAGTATCCTTAAACAATCGTAAAGAAGAAGAAAAATTAAGGAAAAAGGAAGGGAATAAAGAGGAAAACTAGCACATGGCAGCTGTGTATCGTCATTCCCCTTCTCTCTTTACCAAAAGAGAAATGATTACTTGTATTATGAGTCTATGATTCCCTTTTCTCATGACCCTCGAAAAAAATAATAAAATAAATTGGGAAGCTTACATCTGTACATTTTGGTACCTTTTTTTTTTTTTTTTTTGGTGATGGAATTTAGAGACAGAATGTGTGGTTTGCAATCCAAACTAGACAAAATAATAATAATAGTAATAATAAATAAAATAAAAAATGTTTTGAACAGTTACAAACTAGCCAGCACAATTATTCGTTCTTGAACTACATGTGTGGAAAGTTAGTATCAAAAAATTATTAGAAGAACTGAATTATGTTTTGTATCATTACTGATTATTGTAGTGGGTTTTTAAATATTAATTGATTCTATCTATATAAACCCAAGTTTATGTAATAATTTATTTGTTCGCATGTTAGAAGGTTGAAGCACATGTAGATTTGTTCGAAAATCAGTTACGAATAAGACTGCATTTGTTGCAATTGTCCGTAACATTTTTCCAACAAGATAATAAACCATCCATTCTGGGTGTCATATTGTTTATAATTGTTACATGCAATTTAAATTTCATATTTATTCATATTATAATTATTTAAAATAATAGAAAATATCAGTTTTTTTTCCTAAACACCTAAGAGTCTTACCATCAAATAATATGGCATACACAAAAAAACTTGTATTTTAGTGGTAATAATTTTTTACAAGAAGTTACGAATTTAAATTCTAATAGATTAATTCTATTAAGAGTTTTGAGTGTGTGAATTAATAATAATAATAACAACAATAATAACATAGTCTATCGTGAAAGAATTGTTTTGATTTTGTTAAAATTAAAGTTTATTTTTCATTATTCACTTATAAATAGTATAATTATCTTTTACTAATAATCAAATTTAAGTTGGTTTGATTTAAAATACAATCAAAGATCGATCAAAAGATAAGTATATTGGTTTAGTTTAAAAACAGTAAGCTATAATGGACAATATATATATATATATATATAAACAACGTTTCAATTGATGTAAATACTGACATGAAAATACTTTATTATCCCATAAATATTTTAAAAAAACAATAATTAGACCAAAAATAAAAATAATCTGACCTATATAACGGTCAACATATATCATTAATAAATTGCATAGAAAATTCAGAAAAGAGCAATCAAAGATGCTCTTACATCTCGCGTTTCAAGTTTCGTCCAGTGAAAAAGCTCCCACCCTTACATTTAGCCTACAAATGGGTGATGGCGTAAGCCACTCTTTTCATTCTTCATTTTTCTTGCCATCCACTTCACATCTTTCATGGCCTCTCTTCTGCATCGTCTCCCTTCTCTCTCCTTGCTCTGCCTTCTCATCCTCAGTTCCACTTCATCTGACCAACTTCCTCAGGTAATAAATATGATGTCAGGAATCAAAATTTTCAGGAGATGGAATTTTCTAGTTTTTACATGTGACATGTGTGTTCTTTGCAGCCACATGTTGTTTACATGGGAAGCTCATCAAATGGAAATGGAGGAGAAGCTGAAATTGCAGAGTCAGCTCATTTGAAGCTGCTGTCCTCCATTATACCAAGGTTATCAATTCCCACATTTCTCCTCATCATCAACACCGTGACAGATGCCTTCTTCGTAGTTATAATCACAAGTTTAGTCCTGACACCTGGATTTTGATGTGCTTTTGGCAGCCATGAAAGTGAAAGAATATCTCTAATCCATCATTATAGCCATGCTTTCAAGGGGTTCTCTGCCATGCTCACAGAGAATGAAGCCTCTGTATTAGCTGGTAATTCCTCCTTTCTCATCTTTTTTATTTTTCTATTCTATCTGATAGAGCTTATGCCTTGCATATATAGTGACTATTTTGTACTGCATTCGATCTTTTGACCTAAACAGTTTTGTTTAAAAAAAACACTAATATTGGCAAAAAAAAAAAAAGAAAAAAAAAGAAAGAAAAGCTGAACCCCCGATTGCTAATTAGATATAATTATAGCGACTAATTTGTATTATGAAATATTTAGTTAATATTAAGTACATTCTTAATATCTCTTTTTTTTCTCTTAAAATATTTATATGTTCTTTTTTATGTCTCAAATTAATATTTATTAAATGTAATTGGATTTTTTTAGTTTTATTACACAACACGTGAAAGAATTATCTAGTTATCAATTTTAAAAACTCATATATCCTATGTGGCAATACAAGAATAA